CTCAGATTTGGGGGGAGAGGGTGAGTAAAAGAAATTGCTTTGTCTGTGAGTTAATTTGAAATAGAAATTTGAAATGATAGGATCCTGGAAAAATAAATTCATGTTATTCACTATTCCACAATTAATTAGCAAAGCTACTATCCTCATCACTAATACCACTATTACTCAAGGATTACAGCATATGGAACTACTCAAAAAGCATGCCTTGATTATGGAAAAGGCTGCAACTCAACTTCTCTGAGGAAAGAGTGAATAATCAAGGATTTAAAACAATTTATACTCCCAATGAATCAGAAGTTTGGATTCTCTTTGTTTCTTGTTTTGCTTGTGATTCATACTTTTATCTAAACTTATTTTTGCTGTGGTTAATTTTACTATTATTTATTTTACTTGGCATTTATTTTTTTCTTTTGAATACTATTTGGAGACCCAAGTATCAAAATGCTTCCAGTCTAACAGATCACTTGAAAGGCAAATAAAACAAAATTGTACCCTGATAATTACTCCCTTTATTATCCTAAGTAATTGCTATTATATTTTTCCTAGCCTGCTTCGATTGTTTTTGGGATTCCCTAAGAGAGAGGAAGCCATTACATCACACTTACTAGAAAGCCCAACAAATAATTTTATGCTAGGAATATATTTAAATGTTAAAAATGGTATTTTCCACTTCACTCTATTAAAATAAAAATACTTGTTTTGCTTACAATGGATTTCTACATCAATACTGTAGTATAGTTATTTTGCAATTTTGCAAAATAAGTATTTTAACACTTATTGCATTAGAGCACCCTCTACTGCTGAAATCCCTTATTGAAAAGTTTGTATTTTCCAGCAGCTTTCAAGGCCAATTGGCAAACTGAAGAACATTAACAAATAATAAAGAGATCCCTTTTATATTGTGTGGGATTCAGTAGTTTCTTTTCAAGGAAATGCTTCTATTTAAGCAATTGAGGTGTTCTAAAACTTGATCTAATATAACTTTATTGGGAAAATGCATTCTTGTTATTATTACTTGTCCTTCTCTAATAAACTACAGGGCATTTTGTAAAGACAGCTGAAATATATAACACTACAGTATCCTGCCTTACAAAATAATTACCCTTCTATATTTATAGTCAGTGAAGTCATGTGATTAAAGTGTTGGACTAAGAGTGGGTCCTCTCCCTGCCTGTGGAATTCAAAATTTTTTACTACCGGTTCTGTGGGCGTGGCTTGGTGGGCATGGCAGGGGAAGGAAAATCTGTAAAATCTCCATTCCCACCCCACTCCAGGGGAAGGTTAGTGCAAAATCCCCATTTCCTCCTGATCAGCTGGGATTCGGGAGGCAGAGAATAGATGGGGGTGGGGCCAGTCAGAGGTGGTATTTACCGGTTCTCCGAACTACTCAAAATTTCCGCTACCGGTTCTCCAGAACTGGTCAGAATCTGCTGAATACCACCTATGTACTTGGGCCTTCTAGTATCAAAGTTTTTTTTCCACCTCTGGCCAGGGTTGCACTACCTCAGACTGACCCACTGTTCAATCCAAAGGTCCTCCTTAGATTCACAGGTCCTGTTCAAAGAGCAGGTGGCAACCATGGCTAGGAGACCAGGGATTAATCAGGTTTGAGTCTATTTCAGAATGATCCATCCTGTTGGAGAACTGTGTTATCTGTAATACTTAGCCTTACAAAAGGAGGTAGAAATATAGCATTTTTCAAGAATATGAATGGATGATACCCCACAGGTCAATGCCTATTTACTTGTTATACAGAATAATAATTTGCAGCCAAGAAAGATTCCAGTTGTATATTAAGAAAACTTCAGGTAGGGCAGTAGGCTCAATAATCTGCGCACGTTTCGTCGTGCTCTCAAAACATTTTTATTTCAGCAGGCTGGCCTGACCCAACTCTCCCTTTTAAATTTTTAAATTGTTTTAATCTGTTTTATAAATTGGGTGTTTTAAATTTGTTTTCGGCCAAAATATTTAATAATTTTAATGTACTTTTAATGTTTGTATTATCTGTATTTTATCTTGGCTGTTCACCGCCCTGAGTCCTCCGGGAGTAGGGTGGTATAGAAATTTGATAAATGAATGAATGAATGAATGAATGAATGAAATGATTAACTCTCCTTGACTGGCTCTTGAATTCTTGCTTGAATTCTTGGAATTAACCACCAGCTTGGCTTGATGACCTTTTCCAAATCTATAATCAGGTGTTTTCTTTCTTACCCTTAAAATAATAGAGTTAAGCCTTTAATCTTAGAACGCTGCTTCAATCTTTAATTTGAGATGTAAGACAAATATTCTATGCAATAAAATTCTGAGTGAGATCCTACTCAAACAGGACAATGGAGCGTTCCCATTTAGTCGTTGTTATGGATTTGCCTAGTTTTAAAGCTGGAGAACCTGTAGATGGAGAGCAAATCAACAATTCAGGCCCAGTATAGATGATTGCTGATTCACAGAACAAGGGGTCAAATCCAGAATTTGGGAGAGTACCCAATCTTAAAACATATGGTCAGCTAAGGAGTGGCCTGTCTCCTTGAGAGCAGAGCGCATCTGTTCTTCTAATTAGGGAAGGTCCTGAATTCCTACTATGTAAGAGCACTCCCAAGATTGAAAACAATTTTCCATTATGAGACCTGTGTTCCTCTGGTCTCATTCTTGGTCTCCCGATTCTTTACTCTTCAAATTGATCTTTATGTTCCCTTTGTTTTTTGTTGTATTAAGCTATAGCTATGAATCAGGAGGCAAGATATACAGTACTTTTTCTGTGTATTTTTCTTGGTTTTCTTTGCATAATTTACATCCTGTAATTATAGCATGAATCATTAAGTGACTTATGATCAAATTAATAAAAGCATTAGAAACTTGCTAATTGCCTCCTGCTTGGTGCTGTTCATCCCAGTGCAGGACATCATCTCACACTGTAAAATTCACAGCAAGTTGGAAAGAGAAGCTATAAAATAGCAGCAGCTCCCAGCTTTTTGGGCACTAGGGACCGGTTCCTTGGACAGGGTTTTTCCGCAGACTGGAGGGTGCATGGTTTCATGTGCTGCCTGCATCCCACGGATGGGGCTTCGCTTATTTGCGTGGCCCAGTTTCTGCCACGCCACGGATCGATGCAGATCCACAGATGGGGCAGGTAGGAGTGTTGGGGACTTCTGCGCTACAGCATGCAAATAGTACAACTCACAAGAAACTATTGTACCAAGAGCATTCTCATTAAAAAAAATATGCCTAAATCAGAGGAAGGCTTTCTGATCAATTTCTGCTCTATGAACTTTGAAAATATTTTTTGAATTAAAAAAAAAAAAAGATTAGAAATGAACATACTTCAGCGTGCCAGCCACTTGTATTGCCTTTTGTTTCCAAGAATACTTCTGGAATTCATATAGGTCCAGAAGACACTTTGAAAGAATGAAAAAGGGTGAGCCCTTTATTTGAAAGTGAATGATAATAGATGGTAACAGTAAGCTGGGAGTGGAAGGGTTGGATTGAGAGCATCCAACGGTGGAGCAAACTTATTGGTTTTGACCCTGATAAATGGATGTTTGGAGGCTTGCCAGGACCACCATGTCTGCTCGCCAGATTATTAATGTGCCTCCAGCCCCAAGTGCTTAATTGAATTTAAGTTATACTTGTGAGAAATGTGTGGCAAAGATGACATGTACAGGCGTATTCAATAACCACATCTATGTCTCACCCTGAAGCAGTTTTGGAAAAAGAATCTCAGGGGAGGAAGCAGGGATTGTTACTACCGAACAGAATACCTTAAAGACAGTATGCTATTTCTTCTGGCACTATATACACAGGTAATATTGGACACTTGTGAATCATGATCAATTATATATATTTTTTCTAAACATACTGATCTCTAGCAGGTTTTCTTTTATACCTAATCTTCGCATGCATTTGCAGTCCTTAATTCTGGCCCGCTCTCATGCCTGTAAAATTTTCTCTCTTTCTTTGACCCAGCTTTAAAAATTTTAACCCAGGTTTTACAGGATTTATCTGAAACAGATTGATTAGTCAAACCAATTTTTACACACAATGAATAAACAGGTAACCTAGTCCCAAGACTTGTAGCATGACGTTTTTTTTCTCTTTTTAAATGCAAGGGCATTTAATAGCTTCTCAGTATATCATTACAGTTCTGTTTAATTCACATTATTTATTAGACTGCTTTAGCCCTGGCACCTTAAACTTTATGAATGGAACAAAATAAATATTGTAGCATTGTGTTGACCTATATTTAGTCTCAATGATGCCAGCAGGCTGATTTTTTTCTTTAAAAATAAAGACAATAGAGGCTATTAATAATTTAACAAAAATCATCCTGGGCTTGTGTGAGGACTATTAATCCAGTATCATTTCCCTTGCCCTGTACTCTATCCAATAGGATTTGTGTGGCTAGGATGAAAATAATATATAATACCTGTCAAAAAGTGAAAAGAACATTCCTAAGAATGCTAGAGTGTTCTGTTTGTGAATTATGCCAAATTTCTTCCTGTTAAAAAAGCTTTTTACAAAGCATGAGAAGGTTTGAGCAGGAATAGAACCTAAAGTATTAAAATACTTTTTTTTAGTGTTTACTTAATAGTTTTTTAAAGTATTAACATTTTGGGGAACACTTTAAAAGTACTCATCCCCAAGTTGTCCCTTCTCTGTTTAAAAAAAAATGGTGAAGATGAATAAGCTATTGTGAATCTATGGATCACGTTAATTTTTTGCTGTTTATAGAATGTGTTATGTTATGTTTGTTGGTCAATGACTGTAATAAAAGATCGCTCTTAAAATACATTAAACCTCTTCTGGCTTGGATAATTTACTTCTGAAAATTGACAAACCATCTCAGAAAGTTCAACAAGAGAAATGGAAATTCTGGAGTTCTCTGGAACTTTCTGTTCCCCTATCAATGATTTCTGCACATTCCTAATAAAAAGAAATTATGAAATTAGAAATTATCATAGAGCAATCTCACATAGTAGTTAAATAAATACAATCCAATTCCATCTGGTGCCTGCAATTTATTATATGCAGAATGACAGCAAGTGTCAGAAAAAGCACAACATCATGGAGGTACAGTTAGTGAGTAGGCCCAGAGGCAACATACCACTTTGGCACAATTGATCAGCATAATTTATACAAACACACTAATAAATACATAATAAACCATTAGAAGAATAGCAAGGACTGATTTGGGGATACCGTGGTACACAGACACCACTGGCAATGCCAACATTATCCCACAAGTCAAGCACACCATGACAGGGCAGGGAGAGAACACACATTCACCCCTCCTCTAGAACAGTGGTGTATTGCATCAGGCACAGACAGGAGCTAAAATATTTACTGATGAAAATTTATCAGTTTGCCCAGTTTGGGGGGGGGGGAGGAAAAAAATATCAAGTTCTTGGTTTTGCTTAGGCAAGAATATTTGGAGGCTGTGACCACTGGAGAATTACCAAGATAAAGTGAGTCAGTGCTGAACACTGTGGCACAAAAATTATTGTATGCAACTTAGTTTGATGCAGCAGTAGCAATTCCATATACCAAAATGATATTGGATAGATTAAAGAAAGATTTAACTTGATAAGTCAAGACAGAAAAAGGATACTAAATTTTTAATTCATTAATATATACTCTGAATATTGAGTTCCTTTTGACAGCTGTCATTTTCTTTCCTGCACAAAACAAAGCACTTTGGAACAAATCCTGTGGAGGAATTTACTCAATTCTGTTAGAATGGGTCCTGTATTTAGCTTCAATTTTTAAAAAAATGGCCTTAGTTCTTATGACTCCTGGATCAGCTCAACTGTTTGAATGAACTTCATAAACATAAACATCCACAGGAATAAAACCAAAGGACCATTTTGTGGAGGCTCAATGTCATATTTTCTGAATATGTACCTGATGTTTCCTTTTCACAGCATAGGTTCTTGGAGAAGAACTCCAAAATGGGCATGGAATGGCAGTGGTTATATTTAAGCCTGGGGACACACTATAAAAGCACATCAAGCACATCATTATGCTTCAAAGTAAAGCAAAGGCCAACAGTAAGAAGACCACTATTGGCTACAATAAAACAATAACTTAAATAAATAGTTACTATGATGAAAAATAGTAATAAATACTAGTTTGGCCTGTAAACAACCTACTTTTTTCACATTAGATTTCCTGCTCCCCTACTGTGTCTAAAATAAAACCGATTAAGCTTAAAGAATGAGAGGGGAATTAGTCCCACTCTCTTCATTCTTGAAGAAACACTGGAATGTGATGAGCCCAGATTCAAGAGGGGAGACAGGAGGAGGAAAGGTTGGCAGTCTGGAATGGAAACAGGACTGTTACCCACCCACTTCTCCCCTCATTCATCCAGGCCTGGTATCAAGTCTGCAATGCTGTCCACATAGTAGTGAGGCACCAGGTCCTTAGCTGAAGGGCTGTCACTGGCCATGTAAGCCTGTGCCTCCTCTAAATGAGAGACACCTGTCAGGGTCAAGACAGTATCAAGGCCACAGTTCTTGCCAAACAGTATATCCGTCTCCAGCCGATCACCCACCATAAGCATGCGGGATGGATCTACACCAAAGCGCTCTACAATGCATTCAAACATGTATGTGTTTGGTTTTCCAATGACTGTTGCTTTGCGACCAGAGGCTGTTTCAACTGCAGCAGTGAGGCTCCCTGTCCCTGAAAGAGAAGAGACAAAACAACCACCAATCAAGAGTGACCTCCGTTAGCAGCAGTAATCCAGGCACTGCCTGACATATTTACGTAATCCAGATTGACTGACCCAATAAAGGATGAGTGAAATGGGTCATTTTGAGTTCAAACTAGCGAGACAAAGTAAACTTAACTTTCATTTAAATGGAAAGCTTGTATCTAATTTTACTATTTATGTGAAACAGATTCACATGGTTTTAAAGATTTTACTGCAAGTAACATTATAATCCAAGAAATTCTATCAGCTCAGTTGGGATCCCAGTTGAAAAATCTTGGAATGAATTCCAAGGACTTATCAATACAAGCTTCCCAGTTGTTCAGAAACAGATACACTTGAGCATTTAACATTTCAAGGCTAGAATTAGATATAAATGGATACATTTTATTACTCTGTATAAGTATATATTACTACACACACACACACACACACACACACACACACACACACACACACACAGTATACACTTCAAATAGTATTGCTAATAGCAAGATCAACCAGTCAACTTTGGAGTAGTTTTTTTTTAAAAAGTGGGGAACAGATAACCATTTTATGAGGGCAAGACTAGGATGTATGAAGATTCATAGATATATCTTTATCAATAGAGATTGAGATTTTTTCCCCAGTTCTCTTGCCAATCATACAGAATGTCCCATTCAGTGCAGGGATATTTCTAAATTCCACAAAAACAACTTAAAACTCAAAGCTCTAAAAGGAGTTGCTTGCAATGGTCCAGGGGAAACAGATGCTGACTCATCTTATTTGAAGAACTATGCAGCAGCTGACTAATAGACATTTACTTTCTACTTGCAAATCACTCTACTAAAAGTCATCTTATTGGAATTGCTGGTTAACAACCATGCAAAAGGAGCTATCAAAATAACAACAACCTTGAACATAGAAACTGTTCCAGGCTCATATCTTAGCAACACACAAGAACCTCCACAAGGTTATTTGATCACTGGCGGCGAAGAACACCAAGTGTTCTTCCAACAATGATTGCTAGTAAAATATGAAAAAAAGTGACATAAAGGCTAAACTGTTCAGCGTTTTAGGAAAAGGCACACTTGACTTTGAGAACATCCCTTCAGTTCATACTACTTTTATTCTGGTCAAAGCTTTGCTCAGCGCCTCAGGATTCTTCGAATAAATTATGGTGTGTGTCCTTCTATACTGTATGTCATTATCTGAATGAAATATTAGTCGTTTGAATCTCATTATGGGGCATTTATTAAACTGTACAGAAAGCAAGATATCGAAGACCAGAGTAGATGATATAACAAGAGAAAATCCATTCCTCAGCCTTAAGCCTACCCAGATCCTATGAACCCTTTGGATGGCTGTCCGCTTTTTCTCTCAACCTTTTTTCTTAGCTTGTGTAAAGGCAGGATTAAACCCGGCCGGTGTCCTCTGCTGTACAGAGCTAACAGGCCCAGGGCCGGGCGACGCAAATGGGTCTCGACGCCCAGCCGGAGCTGGCAAGGGGGCTCCAGAGCCTGGCCCCCTCCGGCCCGCCGCCCTCACTCACCCGGGGTGCGCTGCCCACTGCTAAGCGGGTGCCAGGGGTCTGGATCGGTGGCTACCAGCAGGCACCGCGGGTCGCGCAAATAGGCGCAGGCCTCCGAGAGCTTAGCGAAGGTGAACTGGTCGTCGTAGCCGACGACGACAGCGCGCACCGGGAGGGGCTCTTCGTCGCCGTCTCCTTCTTCTCCGGTCAGGCGGAGCCCCGCGTCGCGCAGCTCCCCGCGCAGCCCTTCCCCGCCCAGCACGAAGACCCGGCCCGGGGTCGAGGCGGCCGAGTCTCCGGCTCCGGCTTCCCCGCCCAGAAGGCGCTGGCGGAGGTAGAGAGCGGAGCAGAGAGCGGAGCTGAACACCTGCTCGCCGCGGATGCCGCGGAAGCCGAGGCGGCAGAAACGACACTCCAGCTCGGCCACGGAGCGGCGGCTGTTGTTGGACACGAACAGGGTGGTCTTCCCGTTCTGGTTCAGGCGCTCCAGCAGCTCCGGCGCCCCGGGAACCGCCCGCTCTCCGGTCCACAGGACCCCGTCGCAGTCGAAGAGCAGCCCCTGCGACTCGCCCAGCACTTCGCGCAGACAAGCGCCGCTCAACCGCCTGCAGCCCGCCATGCTGGAACCGCACTCGCCTCCCCCCACCCCACCCCACCACCCCCTCCCGTCCTCCTCGCGGAGACGCAGCCAATCAGAAGCGCGCCGTTCCCTTGACGGGCTTAGGAAACGGTACCAATCAGATGCCTGAAGAGCCGGGGGCTCGACCCGCTTAGAACGACACGGGGAGGGGTGGGAGATCGGAGGGAGTGGGGGGGGGTGTCCGTCCGTCGTCCAATCGCGGGTTGCTGGCGCGATGAAAGCAATTAAAAGGGGAAGGCAGGGAGTGATGAAAGCGGGGCGGGCTGCGTGAGAAGCTGTGCCCAAGGCGGGGTGGGGGAGTGGGGTATAGGGGTGGGAGAAAGAAACTGCAAAGAAGGCGTTCTGAGCAAGACCCGCAAGGGGGCGCTCGTCTTCCTTTCTAACTGAGCAGCGGAGAAGGGTAAGGTAGTCTTCCTCCGCCCCTGTAGCTTTATCCTATTGGTGGAAGGAAAGAAGGAAGAGGCGGGTCAAAATAAAGTGGCACGTGTTGTACACCTGTTAGCTCGAAGGATAAAAGCTCGACGGGCTCTTCATGCAAACTCACCTTAGGGACCGTGGGGGAAAAAAAGCGGGGTATAGAGGGACATTACCTTCTAGGACAGTTGTCTCCAACCTTGGCAACTTTAAGCCTGGAGGACTTCAACTCCCAGAATTCCCCAGCCAGCTTTGCTGGGAGTTGTCCTCCAGGCTTAAAGTTGTCAAGGTTGGAGACAACTGTCCTAGGAGATTATATCCTAGACCTACCTACTTAACTACATCATATCTCTATCTCTGTCTGTCTATCTCATCTCTCTACATCATCATCATCATCTGATTTAAATAGTGCCGGTCTCATATATATGACTCCTATGCTGAACAAAATAGCAATAGCACTTAGACTTATATACCGCTTCATGGTTTACAGAGTCAGCATCTTTCCCCCTCCCCTCAACAATCTGGGTCCTCATTTTACAGACCTTGGAAGGATGGAAGGCTAAGTCAACCTTGAGCTGATGAGGATCGAACTGCTGGCAGTCTTAACAGAATTAACCTTGCAATATTGCATTCTAACCGCTGCACCACCACGGCTTTTTATTAAAATAGTACACCTGTTCAAGTCATCCAAAATACTGATTCCATGTTTTTTTTCCTGGAAGATATTCTTGCTACCTTAAAAAAAACAACCCTATTGGTAAACTGTCTTCAAGAAGCTGGTTCAGGATAAATGCCAGATAGTTGCTATAGAAATTAAGAGAATTGCCTAAGATACTACTATCACTTCTTGTTTTCCTACTTTTTCCTCTGAAAAGAATAAAAACAAGGCGACAGCATGTAGGAAAAGGAGTGGCAGAACCTGGGGGTGGAGTTAAATAAGAATCAGCCTAGAGCAGGGGTCAGCAACCTGCAACTCTGGAGCCGCTTGTGGCTCTTTCACCCTTCTGCTGCGGCTCCCTGTCACTCAAAATATGCATCACAACCCCCAATGTGCGACACCCACCAGCACACAATTTATTGAGCTTTTCAACCCCCGGTAGGCCAACCATAGATAAATCCAAGAAAACAAAAGTTTCAGAAGAAAACAGAACATTTAATTCAATTACATATGCTAGTTTTGTGGCCACTCAAGAAATAGTCAGGCATGGGAAGGGTTTTGTGCCTCCCAGTGTTTTCTTTTCTGTGGGAAAGTGGTCCAAATGGCTCTTTGAATGTTTAAGGTTGCAGAGAGTCTCTGCTGGCCTAGAGTCTCAATTTAGTCACAAATGGACTAAGTCCAAATTCCCTTGAATTCCATGAAGCCTTATTTAACTCCAAGGAGATGCTCACCATTAGTTGAGATGATTTCTGTGCATAGGCTGTTTAGAAATAAAGCTGGTGAATTGGACCTTTGTGGACCTGGTTTTTTGTGCCTGGCACAGGTACAAGGTTGGGAAATAAAGCACGTTCTTGAAAGACATTCTAGTAGCCATGCAAAAACATGCAGAATAAATCTGGCTCTCCAGGAAAGGCTAGGGATTTGAACTCTTCAGCTGCTTCTGATGGGCCACTTTTATATTGTGTCAGCATGAATGCCTTGCTGCAGGGCTGTCAAACTCGTGGGCCAGATGTGTCATGTGCTGGCCACGCCCATGCCTGGTTTAGTGAAGGGGGAAAAAGTCACGATACGTCACATGATGATGCGAGTTTGAAACCCCTGCCTTGCTTCATTTGTTTCAATTTTTTGTGTGTCTATGTGTCATATAGGACCCAGAATTTTTATGATGCTCTTGTCTATTACAGTGTATTTGTTTATTTACCAAAAGTTATATATTGCCTACACTTTTGATTTTATGGGGAGAAGTGTCTTTCAATTGCAATTTTATTTTATTTACCTATTCCTCTCATTTGCTTTTCCTGAAGCAGTACCTAAAAGTGAAAATTGATAAAAGGGTATTCATCGGCAATGTATTTATTAGACTTTATAATGTTACAAAACACCTTTATCTCAATAAAACAAGAGCTGTATTTATCTTTGATACAGGCAAAACTGATACGCAGTTTCTTTGATTTGCCTTTTGCCTGTATGAACTGTTTGGATCATCTCAGATGAACTAGATACATTCTTAAAGTTGAGTTATAGATAAAATGTTACCCCAGCGAAATAACTAACCACTTTTTAAAAGGGTAAATATAATTCTCACAGATAGGATTAATGCAAGATGTATGGTATAACTGCGGTAATGAAAAGACAACATAGTCTATCTTCTTTTAACATTTATTCAGAAGCTTCCACAAATGTCTTGTCAAAAATAATAAAAAAGCAGAGCACTGTTAATGAAAAGCTATTTTGTGCTTTATAGACTGACAACAGAATAGTAGGAATGTGAAGTGTGTTGTATCAAATTGCGGCTTATGTACAGGGCTTGGATTAAAATATTACATGAAGGACAACCTATACTAAGTGATGCTTTAATGTTTGTAAATAGGAAGGGGGATTTTCTATTTATTTTGTGTGGGGGGTGTGCGTGTTTGATTTAAATAGATGACCTACATAAGGGTCCCAAGGGAGATGACTCTTGCACCTTGATGCATTTGGAGAACATCTTAACAAAATACCAGGCAGAAAAGAATTGCAACAAATTGGATAGGCAAAAGCAAAGCCAGTGAAATTCTTCCTCTCAGACATTCTCCAGAGTTTCTACTTTCTGAGCAGCAGCAGACGGAGAGCTGTTCTTTCCTTCATCGGCTTCTTTCTTCACATGGACGGGATCTTTGGGCGTTTCTCTACTGCAGACATTAGTAGAATCCTCTTCAGCTGCAGCTGCCTTATTGTTCGTAGCTTCTGAAGGAGGCCTGGGGGATGGCGGAGCTTTGTGACTCTGCCGTCTGGCAGGCTGGGGAGGAAGTGGTGGTGGCACGACTGGAGCTCGTGCTGGTCCCCCTACTGTTCTTCGAGGTAAGGCTTTAGGGATGGAGGAAGACTCTGGAGGAGGAGGAGGAGGAGGCATGTGACGGTGAACAGGTAGCGTAGGATGGGGTGGAGGCATGGTAGGTCTGGGTGGAGCCACTCGCTTTGCTGTCAAGGAGAATGAAAGAAAGAGAAATAAAATCCAATATTTTAGACATTTTTTTATTCTATCACCGGTGACTCAGTTCTGCAGAAATCCAGAAAAATGCTGTCACAGTTGATATAAAAGTCTCTCTTAATTATTTTATTTCTATGTATTTTCTTTGTATCTGTTTTTTCAAAACTGAAAATTATTTCTAAAAGTACTGACTTTTCATATATTATTTATATTTATATATGTGCTTAACTGCATAAGGTGGTTCCTAACAATACCAGAATTGTGGATTAAACTGAAATCTGAAATCTATATTTAAAACAGATTATACCAGATTATATCCAACATTATCAAACTGCAGTATGAATTTACTACCTATGTTTCCCTCTATTTTATCTAGTCTTGTCATTTCAAAGTACATACAGAACTATGCGCTAGTCAGTCAACCTTGATGATGCTATGGATTTTCTGAACAGGACAGTAAAACAAAAGAATAGGAGAATGGTAGGGAGGTAAATAGAATAAAACAGGTAGTATGCAGTGGTGAAATCTGAACCGGTTTCCTACCAGTTCGCTGGCTGTGCTATGCGCCACCATGTGCTCATGCACACCAAACACATGCTGCATGAGCATGCGCAGTGTCCACCAAATGCGTGCTGCACATGCATGCATACACATGTGCAGTACACATCAAAAAGAGGCTTGGGAAGGTAGGTAGAACAGCGAGGGGGGAATCAGCTGTGCCGTGCGATTTAGCTTCGCAAGAAAGCAGGATTTCCTAAACTGCGCAGCACAACTGATCATCAGAAATACCAGTTCAGAGGAACTGGTAGCTTTTTAAAAACTTTTAAACTACTGGTTCAACCGAACTGGAAACTAACTACTGATTCAACCGAACTGGTAGCTTTTTTAAACTACTAGTTTGCCCGAACCAGTAGTTTTTATCACTACCGGTTCATCCGAACTGGAGCGAACCAATAGCATTTCACCCCGGTAGTATGGCATTGCATATTGCCAGACAGCTTCCAATTCTGTCAATCAAAATATATTGTGCCACTATTCCATTACTCCTTATTTAGCTGATTTTTCTTTTGCTAAAAAAATATAAGAAGTAGGCACAGTATCAATATAAGATGTTATCAACAGGTCTCTATAAAATTCAGAGGAACGCTGATTGCACCACTAAAACCTTTTGAATCTTCCAAGCTACAAGCTATGTTTTCAGAATACAAAATAGTACCACTGCCTTCTTGTACTTAATGCAAGTATCTTGCTTACAATCCCATTTGAAGAGTTCTTCAATGATGTGGGAACATTGGCCACTTGTGTCAACAAGAGAGGTAAAATGATTACTATGGTTGTACTATGAAACTTACTTTTTCGTGAAGTCTCATCAGCAGAAACAGAGGTAGGTGGGCAGATTGTTGTTTCAGTAGATGACTGGGTCACTTTTGAGGACACTGTTTCTGGAATAACCTCAGCATTTTTCCTGCCAATGTGGAAAAGTCTTACAAATTCTCATTTGTAGGCTTCCAAAAACAATTAGTATACAGAGAAATCCCATAAATATTTCCATTCTTAATCCTGGATATCAACCACAAACCACTAAAATGGTGGCTGACCTGTATTTTGGGAAGGTTACAGTGAAGTTTTTACTCCATTCACTGACTAGTGAAGAACAGGTGAAGGTTGCTTTGTGCATCCCGAAGAAGAATAAGTTTTAAAAACTGATTCCCAAATTGTGTTTTCTCCTTTTCTCTTTTGCTAAATCTGTTTTTCTTTGGATTATTTTTTAATGTAAATTTGAGGGAGGGACCATTAGTCCTGCATTTTATACGCTACTGACTATTGGTTTTACAAGGTCAGGTTAAAATGGTTTAAATTATATCCTATTTCATAATGATGGTTGGGGAAAGTCTTCTTCTCTGGAGTTTTTTTTACTGTAAGCATCAACAATATGTCTGCTGCACAGCAGCACACACCAGACTAAAGTAAGATAGAGTAACTTGTGATTGGTTAGGTAGTCTTTATTAGAAACCAAGTCATTGTCTTAGATTAGGATATAAACCAGATCATTGTGTTCAGCTGTAAGACAATTTATTTGCTTACATATACATGTTACTGTAGGTATAGTGATTATTTATTTGATTACTCCTTTATTATTTTTACAAATGTTTTATTAAGCCAGGCTTAGACTGGTACCCTGTCTATTTGAAACTAGTGTATTAAATAAACAACACAACAGTATCCTGTTGTGATAGGTACATGGGCACATCACCAAAAAGAAAAATTGTATCTGAATAAAAAGTGGAGAACAGAAGAGCCCTGGTAGCGCAGCAGACTAAAGCACTGTTATTAACATCAGCTGCCTGCAATTACTGCAAGTTCAAATCTCACCAGGCTCAAGGTTGACTCAGCCTTCCATCCTTTCTAAGGTAGGTAAAATGAGGACCCAGATTGTGGGGGCAATAAGCTGACTTTGTATAAAATATACAAAAGTATTAAGGCTATTGCTTAACGCATTGTAAGCCGTCCTGAGTCTCCGGAGAAGGGTGGCATATAAATCAAATTAAAAAAAAAAAAGATTATGTAATTGAAATGTATCGCTACAATTTTTTGAGGAACTGATATAACAAAAAAATATAATGTATTAAATTCATATTAGAGTAACTGTGACCACATGCTTTATATGTATATTTATGCTAATTAAGATGGATACTTTCATGGCCTTTTTATTCTCAGCCTTCTTTGTAAAACTAAAATTAAAAGCATAGCTGAAGGTTATATTTGTCTATGTATACCTTTCTTCAGGCATAGGGGTATTAGATTCCGAAGGCAGAAACACTGCTGTAGATTCTTCTGTTGTGGGGATGTTTTGATTTTTGATGTCTAATGGAGGAGGAGTGAACAAACTGGAGACATTGAAGTCAATATCTTGAGGGGAAAAAAGAAAAATAAATGAATGAGAGAGTCTGAGTGTCTAAAAGCTATTGTAATGTTCTGCAGTTCTCTCTAGCAGCAGAAGGTTCATTGTTGATTCCTTCCACCTCTCTGTTTCATAAGATTTATCAGTACTTTAATAAAGAATAGTCAATTCATGCAAAATCAAGAAGGGGCAGCCTGACTAAAAGTCAGAAACTTGTGACTCTTCCCTCTAAAGCCCTTAAAAGCTAATGCCACAACCTAGATGTTTAAATTGCTAAAAGACATTATCTGTTCATTTATCTACTTTTTGATTAAGAAAGCACCGCCGATCTAGGATCTAGGTTTAGGGTTTAGCCCTAGAGAAAGGTAATACATTTGGCTGGAATACCATGATGGCATTCAATGCATAATTTAATGAAGTGCCTTAGACATTCCTTTCAGAAATATTGGTAACTGCATATAAATCATACTTGATTAAATCATCCATATGCAGCTTTTGCATCTGCCACTGATTTGAGTTCTCCTCAAGAATGATTCATATATACTCAGTTTTTACCGCCATATCTTTAAAAGTATGAAGTATTTTTAAAGCCATTTGTTAGCCACCTTTATACAGTACCTTGCTTTTAAATACTAAACATTATTAATATAAATTATATATTTTCTTTGCTCCAAAGAAACACAAGTTGAGAGCCCCTACACACACACAAATACACACACACACTTTGCAACTCTTATTCTAACCCTGGATAACAAAAATCTTGCTATTGAAACTTGCATGACAAAGAAAGAAATATAGCACACGAGTGATATTATTGCAATGCATAGTTACTCCATAAGGCACATCGAAATTTCTTTTTCATAGTGAAAATTCACAGAATCATTTATTAATTCCATTTTCCGGTCTCCCTAAGCTGTCCTTTTCAACTGGGTACCAATTACATGTGTCTGCTTACAAGCTTTGTGGAAGAATCCAATTTGCCCTGAGAAAAAAGAATTTGAGTTACCTCCTGGAAAGAGGATCTCAGCATTTTGTATGAGAGGCTCCACAACTCCCACAACTTGGATGGAGGATACAGAAGCTATGTCTAGCTGCACTTGGGACCTGGGAGAAAGAAGCCAAGAAAAAACGCTGAACAGATTCTGAAGCAACAACCTATATAATTCATTTGTCCTAATCTCTCTTGCTCACTTTTACAGGTATGCTTCACCCACATGTCAACATATAAATATTAAACTATCCTGATACTTGATCTCTGAACATCTAATATGATTTAACCTGATTATAACAAGTGCACATAAATAATTTAACAATACTTTCCTCTCCATCAACAATATTATCCTCTCATCCCAGGGTGAATGTTTTTTTTAAAAAAATATTTTTTATTAAACAGTTTTTTTAAAAACAAACAAAAACAGATATTTACATCTTCTTCTTTTCAACATCTTTGCATCAGTAATCCATATTTATACATTTTCTCTTTCTTATCTTAATATATCTTTTATACATATATTTCTAGTATATCATATATATACCATTATAATATATTCTATTATTCTAATTATTTTATTTACATTTGACATAAACATGTACCTAATTTCCTATCCACAATTTTTATTTTCTTCCCATTTATTTCTATATTTCTCCACCTAATTTACTCATTATTTAGTCTTCCTTTGTCCCGCCCTTTCCCCCCCTTTCCCTCCATTCCAGGGTGAATGCTTTTTATATTTATGTGGTACTAAACAGGAGATGGTAAGATAAGGCTATTATTGTTAAAAGATATATTGATATATATTAATTCACTGAAAAGAGAAAACATATCTCAATATTGGTTGCTCTTGAAAATGTGTAGGAAAGTGTGCAGCCTTGTCTTTCACCAGGATTCCCATCTGTTTCTGGTTGGTTACTTCATGAACAGAATATTAGGTTGAAAGCACTGCTGTTCGTATGGGTTTTCTGGAGAACTATTTAAAACCTAATTTGAAGGCATTAAGAACAGATTTAAGAGGGGAAGCAATTGGATTCGCCCCTCCTTCATTTTGGCAGTGAATGCCCATTCAGTTTCTTTCATTTCTTGAAAAGTTTGAGAAATGCTATATAAAAATGCTATATATGCTATATAGACTGCTAAATGCTATATAGACTGAAATAAACTTTTCACACACAAGCACATACACACTTTCCCACGTTAGTAGAACTGGCAGCGACAAAAAATATTGAAGATAGTTGAAAGTATGACAGTAAAAGAGAGCTGTTTTGGAGCTGTGATTGGAGAGATGAAGTTATTTATTTATGAAGTTATTTACAGATTTTTTTTTTTACTTTATATCTAATTCTTGGATAGTTGAACCTATGCAAAGGAGTTGGGATCTTTTTATGTATCTGCTTAAACTACCTGCCACTTACTTGATTGGTTTGGCATGGCTGAAAAAGAAATTAAGATTTTCCTCTCTATATTACAAATAAAGAAAAAGTTCTCAAGAAGGTCTTTGAATGAGGAATGTTGAAATCATAAAAATTAAACTGCTGTAATCACTTTGTTGCAGTGATGAAAAAAAGATGCACTTTCCAAATGTTTCCCAGTTTTAAAAGAATTTGCCCTGGATGATTTTCCTTTATCCATTCTGTGGGTCCCCAGTTGATTTATGCTAAAATTCCCAACAGTAATGCTATTGGCTGGGGAATAATGAGCATTATAGTTTAATTCATCTGATGGGCAGTTCCAAAATTGGAAGAGAATAAGATATATCATTTTTGGTACAACATATTACATAGATAGAGAGAATGTGTGAAATAAGAGAGGTATTTCTCAATAATTCATTACTGAATAAGTATATACTATATGAAACCCCCAGTATATTGTCTTCTGGGACATCTATACTTTACCTTTCATTCTCCTGGGGCCACAGTAGGTTGGGTCCTAGGACAATGGCAATGTTGCTTGGGGACATTTTATTCACTTCCTGTTGTTCAGCCAGCTTGGCTAAAAAACGAATCAGGTACCTACAAAGAAAGAGTGATTTGTAAAAGCAAAACTCAGTGCCTTGATTTTCTTAGGATTCTCATGTTTTTCCTATTGAATTTTGACCTATCACAGAAAGGCAAGGAGGAGAAAAGCTTTACATCTTCATTTAAGTAAGTCCATAAACCAACTTTCTGAATTAAGGCAGTAAACATAAAAATGCAAACATTCAAGAATATTATTATACATTATAATAAAACTTAAAATTGATCCTTGAAAGTTTTAAAAATTTATAGCTATGTCACACCTCAGGTTGTTGTAGTTGTCCTTGGGAAGAAGATTACAAACATCCTTGAGGCACTCTAGTTTAATTTCTGGTTCTTTGGCACTGAAAAGGAAAAGTGCAGAAAAAAAAGGATGTGATTTTTTTTTTTTTTGAGGCAGAAAAGGAAGACCAGAACAACTTGAAAATAAAAAGGATAATAGCGCTTGTGAGAATTTCTCAAGTTATTTCGTATTGCCTAATAGTCAAGGACAATGTAATCAGATTCTGGCTGTATTTCTTTTCATTTACATCCTCTAAGGTTTCTCAGATATGGATGGAGCAATCCTCTCTGGCAATAGCAATAGCACTTAGACTTAAATACCACTTCATAGTGCTTTACAAAGTGGTTTACAGAATCATCATATTGCCCCCAACAATCTGCGTCTTCATTTTACCGACCTTGGAAGGATGAAAGGCTGAGTCAACCAGTCAGAATCGAACTGCTGGCAATTGGCAGAATTAGCCTGCAATACTGCATTCTAACCACTGTGCCACCACAGCTGTCTTTAGCTCCCAGTTGGTGGGAGCACTTGGCCGAGCTTCTCTGAGGGTAGAAGCCAAACAAGTTGGGTGGGTCTGGTTAATATTTGTAAGGGGAATACTGGGAATACTGTCATCTGGGAATACTAAGGTTAATTTCTTGACTGTTTGTTTTAATGGAAAGACGACAGTGGCAACCATTTCATGTTGTTGCCAAGAAATTACGTGAAATGTCCATGAAATTATCAGGAGTCAAGTTCAATGCAAAAGAACCTTGAACCTTGACTTGAAAGTAGATTTGATTGTCAGAGTTAATTGCTTGAGCTGAGATTCAATCTCAGATTTCTACAGTTTATTCTAAATTCCAACCACTGGTTGTCTCTATATTTTACGGGTCAGAATATATTATACGTTTTTCTTCTGCACTATCATGTATTAGGAAAGGAACATTTTTTGTCAGTTTCTAAGAAAAAAAAATTAATCACCAGTACTATGAATATTTATCCAGAGATTAACAATTACACACAAACAGTAGGAGGTCTTTCTGGCTTGTTATTGGGTTGTTATTGTTCTAACTATCTGCCTATGGGAAATTGAATAGGACTAGAACTAGGCTGAATTAGTAGTCTAAGAATAATCTGAGATAGAAACAAAATTGGATATATTTCTGAGAGTTTTTTTTTAAAGGTATCTGCTGAAATATAGAATTTTCTTTTAGGTTTTTAATGTCTTTATTAATTTGAGATGAGGATATCTGCACTTTCTTAATGCTTGTGCAGCCTGACCTGTGCCAGCATATACAGTGGATATACTGTAAGAACTCTACACATCCATTGAAATGCTAGGTTTTTGAGATGTAAATAAAAATCAGATGAAGATAAATCAGGGTGCAAGAAACTTTGAAGTGTTTATCTTGATCTGATTTTTTCATATTTTAAAAACATGGTATTTTAAACAGGAATGTGTAGACTTTTTATATCCACTGTATATCTGGGGAGAAAATAGTTTTTATAACTATTTTTCCAATATAAACAAGGCGGTAAGTATTAGTTTATCAGATAAATAAAACTCAATCAAAGACTGAAAGAATTATAGTGTGCTTAAGCCCATCTTTCTATTTCCAACTCACCTGGCAGCTTTCAGCCAATCATCATAGAGTTCAGAGGTCATCAATGGCTGTGGCAATTCTCGTAGGTAACATTTTAGTGCACCTGGAAGCAAAAAAGTATGTTTCTGACACAGTATGACTGCCTAGCTGTAAAAAAGATGTAAATTGCCTGGCATGTGTCGAATGTTTCAATATTATTGAATACTGGTACCAGTACAATACTGGTTAGCCAATCAGCAGAGTTTGGGCACTGTTTTCCAAACTGTCTAAAGAACCTTAAGTTGGTTACTTCTGTCTGAGAGAAAGATGGAATTATGCTATGTAAACTTGCCACATTTAATGAGGTTCAAAATAAATACTTTATTTTCCTGTGAAGCAGCAAGAGAAGGTTCCTTAGATGCTTGAAGGTGCTTAGATGGCAAAAGTGTGCTTTGCTTCTGTTTTGCTCTACTCAAATTTCACTGAAAAGCCTCTTTGACAAGAAATGATAGGTAGGTAGGTAGGTAGGTAGGTAGATATAGATAGATAACCTTTATTGCCATGTTTTACTGTGGGCACACTGGCATGCATTAAAAATGAAATTCTGTTTCCTGATCTCAAAAGTGTACACATACATAACATACATACCAGGGGTGAAATCCAGCAGGTTCTGACAGGTTCTGGAAAACCGGTAGTGGAAATTTTGAGTAGTTCGGAAAACCAGCAAATACCACCTCTGGCTGGCCCCAGAGTGGAGTGGGAATGGAAATTTTGCAATATTCTTTCCCCTGGAGTGGGGTGGGAATAGTGATTTTGCAGTATCCTTCCTCTGCCATGTCCACCAAGCCACACCAAGCCACACCGCGCCCACCAAGCCACACCCACAGAACTGGTAGTAAAAAAAATTGAATTTCACCACTGATACATACATACATACATACATACACACATACATACATACATACACACACACACACAGACCTACACCCATACATGCATATATTAATCACTGTCCATCTTGAATACATATCAGAAAGAGGAAGTTTGAAAGTTCACATGGTTAATACTATATGGAACAAAACTGCAACTGAATCTGGATGTTCTGCTTCGGAAACGGGAAATCCTCCTCCCAGAAGGTAACAAGGAAAGCAGGTCGTGAACAGGATGTGTAGTGTCTCAGACAAGATCTCTTAGTACAGCTGATCACCTACCTGCCACAGCATGAGGGTCTACGTAGAATTCTTCCTGAATATTTGAGCCACTGTCAAGACAGTATTTTAGTTTCTTCAGCACAGAAGCTCCAGCTGCCAACCGGAAGAGCCCCTAAAAGAAGAAACAAAAATAAGAGAGAAGCCAGGAGGTCCGTGGCAAATGAATAGCTGGACAGAGGGTGGCACCTACCTCTTCCTGCATACCTGTGGTCAACAGCATCATAACACAGGCTTCAATGGGAAGTGCAATCTCTCGCCCAGCAGCCTTTAGGTGAGTCTCTAATGGCATGCCATACACCCTTGGTACAGATGCATGTAATGGAAAAGGGGCATCTAAATAAGGAAGGAGGAGGAGAAAGGACAAAGATTAAATAATGTTTGTCTATTAATTTCCAGAGTTATCTCCTGTCTCCTCTTCTGGGCTAATATCAGGTTTTTTGATGTACACAGAACAAAAAGCTGAAGCCATTTCTAGCTGACTACCACAATTTAATGCAAATAACAGTTAATGCAAACATCAATTAAAAAGGACCACATCTAAGCAGATGACCAGAGAATGACCCTACCAAAAGTGTTAATGTTCAGTTCCCACATATTGCATTTGCAGCCCTTTCTCTTTAATATTCTCAAAGTTCTGGCTGAATAATAACAATTTATTTATTGCTAATGTATTTGCTTTGGTATTTGCTCAGGGGTGAAATCCAGCAGGTTCTGACAGGTTCTGGAGAACGGGTAGCGGAAATTTTGAGTAGGTTGGAGAACCAGCAAATACCACCTCTGGCTGGCCCCAGAGTGGGGTGGGAATGGAAATTTTGTAATATCCTTCCCCTGGAGTGGGTCGGGAATGGAGATTTTGCAGTATCCTTCCTCTGCCATGCCCACCAAGCCACACCATGCCCAAGCCACGCCCAAGCCACGCCCACAGAACTGGTAGTAAAAAAAATTGGATTTCACTACTGTATTTGCTCATACCAAAAAATGCATCTTAAGTTGTACCTGTTTGGTTGTGAGAACTCATTAGCTCTGCCAAGCTGGAATTTAGAGATTCCAGAGACTTCTGGTGATATTCTGCCTGGATTTCCAACAACTGTCACAGAGAAACAAGCAAATAGAATTGTAATTCTAATTAGTATTTTTCCTACAAGTCTTGTCTATGGAGAGATGAAATTTTCGGAAGTTACATGATTTTTAAAATATAATATAAATAAAATATAAGTAGAGTAGTTAACAAAAGGAATTAAATCTTACTTTGATAAAGTACTTAGCATAGCTGTCTTCCTTGGTTGAAAAATGATACAAATCAGCCATATATTCATCCTGGAACAGTATTGGGAAGTATTATTCCTTGATACACTCGTGAAAAATTAAACAAAATTTTATCACTATATTTATTGACATTCATTCATTACAGCAGAGTTTCCCAACCTAGGCGGCATTCACATGTGGCCTTCAACTCCCAGAATTTCCCATGGCTGGCTGGAGAATTCTGGGAGTTGAAGTCCATGCATCTTAAAATTGCCAAGGTTGGGAAACTGCATTACAGCATCAATAAATTCTTAATACAGATAGGGAGTATACTTGTAGTGTACTTCTTGAATGTAACTGTATGGCTCTGAGGATACATATATGCAACTAATGGAAACCAACAAATTCTTATGCTTCACTTGTGGAAGCTACCCAATACACAATAGAATTGATAGTAGAGACTGATTCCATCACTAGACAATCTACACACATCCAATCAGATGAAAAGAAACTACATCAATACTTCATTCTTTCTAGTTTATTTTTTTAACTATTTCTCAGCTCTCCTGTACTTGATGAATTTCTTACACAAGCATGTTTATTTATACCAGAATTGAAGAGTGGACTAAGATTAATCAATAAATTCTTGATCAAGCTATTTCTATGTTTAAGTACCTTGCTCTGCTCCACCTTCCTTTTCATCTCCTCTTCTTCCTCCTTCAGATTCTCCAACTTCAAGGCAGCCGACGAGGCTCCTGAAGTTGTGACAGCACTGACAGTGTTATTGGAATTCTTGGCAGCTTGATTTAGACTGCATTAAAGGAAAAAAAAAAGAAACAGGTAGATTTGATGGTATTTCAAAATTAGGAAACAGGATATGTTTGATATGAAAAATTTTCTTAATAATCAGGGTTTGAGCTGTTATTGTGAGGCCTAAGATTGACACTCTGGATGCAAACACCCAGGTGATGCTATATTTTCTGTGGAGTGGGAAGCCCAAACTGTTTTAACAGCAGTTTTAGTGCAAATTTTGCCAGACTAGAACTAGGGAGGCTTGAGTTCAAAATTTGTCTCATTGTGAAAATGTATTGCACAGGTAAACAACCAATAACACCCAGTTTATTTATTCTGCACAATTTGGCAATTTCACACAATCTAAATTTCAAGATAAATCACCAAATTTAGATGGTACAAATTTAGATGTTAAAAATAAAAGGGGTAAATTATTTCCCCCAAGACATAAAACAAGCCAAGAATTTCAGTCCCACCTCTTCTAGTAACATCACTATCACATTCTTGTAACACTTGGATACAAATCCTAATCCCAAAAAATATTGTCCAAGTTTACTGAGTGGTTATTTTATTTTACTCTAAATTATTTCACACTGTTGTGAGAATAAAAGGGGAGAAGGGAAGAAATCTGTCTGATTCTTTTGATTGTTTATAAATAAGGCAGGATAAAAATGAGTCAAGATTGGGACACTTAAAAGATTCCTTCATATCATATGAATATAATATTATTCCAAGTCAAGCCATTAAGTTGGCAACAACTTTCCCTTTTAGCCTTTGGCATAACATGGATAGCATAAGAGCACTATGGGCATTGATGGACAGTCACTTACCAATACTTTTAAGTAAATGAAATGTGAATTAGACTTATCTACAGATGGAAAGTTGCAACTAGTCAGTATTATTTCTAATGCTCAGTAATACTTAATTATTCCTTAGTTCATCCCAATGCAGTATTAGAACTGATAACAATGAAGCAGGAGAGTGACTTTATATTTATACCACTCAAATTACAATATCCATATGTATATCCATACAATTCTTATGTACCAAAAAAACAGTACATGTATCCACTTGAACACACAGATTAAAATGTTACACGGAAGGTCTTTCCATAAAAATTAATTTAGTAATCGGCAAACCTGAAAGAGAAACAATGCTACACTCTCTGTAACATTTGTGTGTATAAACATAACTCTTTATGGACATTACTTTGCACTGACAGTGGACTTCTAGAAATAACAAATACATAAAATTACTTTTTCCTTGAAAGAGGCAGAACACAAATCTAAACATTAAAGTAATATTTTGTAATTATGATACCTAAAGTACTTTATGGATTTATGGAGGCTGTAACCAGGTAGGCCCTTATATAAGACTATATAAGGGCCTACTATGAATAAACCTCATATTTATATATATATATATATATATATATATATATATATATATGAATATGAGGTTTATTTTTTCAGTTAGCAAGCATAGTAGTGAAATACTTTATTGATGTGAATATGATAGCAAGCAGTTTCTAACTGAAAAGACATCTTAAAAACATGAAAGCCACTTCTAACAACCTTGAGAATTTTGTTTCCTACTACTGCCATGGATTGATGGCAGTTATCCAACTCTGGCAGCTGTTTTTCTTGTCTAATTCAGACATGGCAAGTATTGATGCTAAGATGCAAAGTAGGAGTTCCACCACTGAGCAATCACTTCTCCTTAACCTATGCATTTGCTTAGAAACGTTAAATAATTTCTGCAAGTCAGCACAGAAAACAAATAGTAATGTAAGACATATGGAAAGTGGGATTCCCGAATTGACATACAATTGAACAGGCATGTGGGGGATCATGCATCTGTGCAGCTTTCCCCAACCTGGCATCTCTTAAATACAGGCAATCCTTACTTAATGACTGCTGGTTAACATGTGACATCATGCTTAATGATTGAGGATGATTCACATAACAACTGCAGCTTCTAACTGCTGTAAGTCAGTATGCTCACATGACATTTCATTTTATGACCATGCCATTTAGTGATGGAGTTAGTGGTCCCAATGGCAGCGGTTAAGTGAGGACTATAATATGCCACTGGCCATGCTGACTGTGAGTAATAGGAATTACAGTACATCTGGTAATAGATTAGAAAAATGATATGCTAAAGATTTGAAGTAGTTTTGAAGTGCTAAACTGTGTTTTGTTCAAACATAACTTCTTTCAGTTGGCAGTAATTCAGTGGTGAGTTTCAAAATTTTTTACTACCAGTTCTGTGGGTGTGGCTTGGTGAGCGTGGCATGGCATGGCTTGGTGGGCATGGCTTGGGCATGGCAAGGGAAGGATACTGTAAAAACTCCATTCCTTCACCAATCCAGGGTAAGGTTACTGCAAAATCCCCATTTCCTCCCAATCAGCTGGGACTCGGGAGGCAGAGGATAGATGGGGGCAGGGCCAGTCAGAGGTGGTATTTACCGGTTCTCCGAACTACTCAAAATTTCCACTACCGGTTCCCCAGAACTGGTCAGAACCTGCTGAAACCCACCTCTGCAGTGATTGCATTATATCATAAGGCATTGTGGCTAGCTCACACAAACCCTAAACCTCAAATCCAAGGAAATTGTAATTCAGAATGTTAAATTAGTTGGTACTTTAAGGCTTTGGATGGCAGAGATCTTGTTGCCAAGGTAATGTTATCAAAAACACAACCAGCCCTGGCAGAACATGAACTAAATCTTAAAGAAACTTTTCCTCATCACTCCTTTCAAAGGTTTCAATGAGCCCTCCCCATTTTCCTATTTCATTATATCACACCCCCCAGTACCGGCTTTTGATGGTGTTCCAATCCAGAATAAGTTTCTGAAGGTTCTTTTTGTGTTTCAGGATGACAGGCAGCTCCTCCTAGAAGAGATTGGGATGAAGGAGTTAGGGCCGGTTCACACTATAATTGGCTCCCATAAAGCACCATCCTCATCAATAATTTTTAACTAATGTTTAAATGGTCTTTAGATACACCTAAATATACAGTAATAATACTAATATAATCATAAAAATGTCAAATACAGTCTAAACATTTGACTGTTATATTATTATGCAAGCAACCATAATAATAATAATAAGCTACAATGGCCAGACACAGCAGTAACAAAGATACTTTGGAATATCTTCAAGAAATATCATTTGCCTGCAAGCAAGAACTGGTGGGATCACAAAATAGACAAATAGAAAACGAAGAAGCTAAAGTGTTCTGGTATTTTAAAATTCAAACAGCCAAGCACCTGCCATATAATGCCTCAGATTTAACAACTGTTGATAAGAAAGACAAAAAAAGTCTGGATAGTGGATCTTGTTTGTTTGTAATCCACATAAAACAGCCTATTTCTTACGTTTCCAGAATTTTATTCTTTTTCTGACATTAATGTTAAGATGGCCCTTGCAAGGACTCTGTATGAGAATTTTCACCTTAGCCAGATTTGCTATTTATTTGCTAGATTTATATCCTATCTTTCCTCCAGGAGATCAAGGGAGCATACCTAGCAGTCTTTCCTCCAATTTTTCTTACAACAATCGTTCCATGAGGAATGTTGAGTTGAGAAACAGTGATTGGTATATAAAGGCATTCAATGAGCTTCCAATGACTGAGAATGGGTTTGGCTCTCCTGAGGCCTTGGGTGGATTCTTACTCTACTATGCTTTTCTTACATTTGAACAGCAGAAGCAGTTAGTGATCTTTCTTCTGGCACCCTGACAGGAAATGCCTGTTTCCTGATTTTGCTTACGTTAGAAAGTCAAGCATGACAAAGTAGTTATTTCCAGTGCATATTGATCCTTAACTATAGCTGTGAGCAGCCTTACAAAATGTAAGCAACCTTTTGATTTTGTTCTAAATGAACATTACAATCAAAGTTCCCATAGCTCCTAAATTACAGCAGCTTTTGCCCATTTGTTAGGAAGGACTATGTGGCTGGGTTTCCATCAGCAATTGTTTAACCATAGTTTACTGCATGAATTGCACTGTGGCTGGACAAATTGTGAAAATGCTGGGGGTTAAGTAAACATGGAAATAGGAGTGAAGAGAAAAAAGATGAAAGATTATGCTGGTTTCTGACTATAGCAAAGTTTTGATTTGATTTGAGACTAAAGATACCTCACTCAGTTTATTCAGGGGTTGTAGGACATCTTGTTCGAGAGTAATTTCAAACTCTGCAAGGATCCTGGCCAGCATGCTTTGAATGCAGCAACTCATTTCTAGAGCTTTCCTGAAAGCAAAGAAGAAAGAAAGAGTTGAAAACCTGACTTGGAAGGTGAAGAGTATCAATCTACCATAACACCTCTGGGGATTAACATATAATACAAGACAAATTCCCTGTGTGTCCAATCACACTTGGCCAATAAAAAAATCTATTCTATTTTTTTTTCTTTTGCTTCCTGGTTTGGATCCTTCAACAGCTGCTGCTTCTCATATCCAGCATTTTCTAGATACCGTATATTGCATTGCAAGTCATGTGCAATGGGAATCGAGAGCATCAAATTGGGAAAACTATTTTTTTCAATTAGGTTGCCACAATTCTAACTTCTGTGATTATTACTAGGCATGCTTTAATTTCTCTATATGTATCCCATCTTTTTGCCCAGAGGATATATAGGGCCACTAAAAGTAAAAATAAGCAGTTGAAAAATCTAGTTTAAAAGGGATAAAAATCACAACTCATTCCAATTGAAAAGGATGAAAGGTGGAAACCTGAGCACAATTCCCAAAGAAATACTCTCCAGAATTTGGAATTACTTGCATGATTGGAGATACAAGACAGTAACTTCATTCCCCATATTCATTTTCTAAATAAAATGCTTGTTGAGTAGCAGACGCATGTACTTGACACTGATAAACCCCAAAGACTGTTCTGCAATTTCAGGTCATTGTGGCTCAGCTTCAGTTGATAATGCAACATCCATATATTACTTGTGTGATCGCCTGTAAAAAAAATACTTTGTTTTTTGTGATTTGGTGTATCTGTTACTGAAAAAAAAGTCTGCCCTTTGCTCTTTTCTGACACTGCATAGAGGAAGTCAAGGGAATACTAGCAGGACAAATAGTGCCTATTAAGTGATGAGCAATAGAATTTAAGGCTGCACTAGCAGATTTGCACTTGGGTGACAAGACTTTCTCTTCTTCATGTCACTCCTGGGTGTTCTTACAATTGCTCTGGAAGAATAAGAGTTTTTCTGAAACAGATTTGAAGGCATGTGGAAGCCTGTGCAAGGGGAAAGGGAAATGGTCTTCCTCCCAACTCAACACCCAGAAATGGCTTCTGCTAATAGAAGTGTAAGAACCAATTTGGTGTACTGATTAAGGCAATAGATTAGAAACCAGGAGATCATGGGTTCTAGTCCACTTTAGGCATGAAGCAAACTAGTCGACTTTAAGAGTCAGACACTCTTAGCCCTAGGAAGCAGGCAATGGCACCCACTTCTGAAATCTTGGCAAGAAAACTTCAGGGACTTGTCCAAGTAATCACTAGGAGTCAAAACCAGCCATAAAAACTTGCCCCAACCCCTCACCCCCCAACCAGTGGTGGGTTGCCTCCGGTTCGGACCAGTTCTATAGAACCGGTAATAAAACCTGTGGGAGGCTCTGCCCACTGACCCTGACATCATCAGAAGTAATCTGCACATGCTCAGAAGCGTCTGCGCATGTGCAGAAGCAAGGTGCGTGCGCAAGCAAAGCGTGGGCATGCGCACAAACCTGTTGCGAACCGGTAGTAAAGGTAAGTAGAACCCATCCCTGCCCCCAACCAATACCCACCCACAACAGAACTGCAGCTTGGATTTCACCTAGTGAAAACTAGACCCACTCTGTGTTTCTACTGCTTTCTCATGTACCACCCTATTGCTGGACAGAAAGTTATCCCAGGAGTACAAAATATAGCCTAATGCAGATTTCATAGTTGGCATGGTTCTTAAAATACAATGGCCAACAGGAAAAGCATTGGTGGAGGAAAACAGACAAGGCAAACAGAGGAGACTCAACTTGCCATATATTTCTGTACGAGTGGATTTTAAGGTTAATATTAATTACCCAGATGCTGGAAAGAATACTGCTCTAGAAATCAATATTTTTATGTTTTCAGAAAACGAACAATACCAGTTCAGTCAGGATACTAATGCAAAGACCATTTCCAAATTGAGAAAGAAAATATGATTTTGCCATCCGTAGAGGGGATGAACTTTATGGAAGCCTCAGAGATAACGAACTAGACTATATGTTCCTCAGTTATGAATAACACTATGTGGTCTTTCTCTCATAAAATGTAAGAATTCTTACCCGAGACTGGAATCCGTGTCTAATTCCTTAAAACTTTCAGCCATAGTGACTGATAATGCCATCAAAGGTAACTTTTTCTGTGGAAAAAAGTGAGAAAATAAGACAATGAACAGACAAGGAAAATACCTATACCAGCTAACATTTGGTAATTGCAATTATTAAATCTCTAACTCCTTGCCTACATTATGGGTTCTTATAGTGATATAACTTTCCTGTTTCTTTACTATTGACTTAACAGGTAATAATAACTGTTTCTCACCATCAACACCTTATCTTAATGTGATGTTTGATTTTTTTTGGCAATGATAATTCATTGAATCCTGTGGACAGTTTGTATCCGTATACTGGGTATATCTCCTAGTTAGTAAAATGTGGGTAACAGTATTTTGGTTTTCAGGCAATGTCTAAATTAAGGATTCTACCTTATGAATGAAAAGGCCAAGATATAGATCAGAGAGTGTGAATTAGCGTCATTTATGCTGGGTAGTTGCATGGAATATAAAGGTCCAGGGGCTTGTGATAGTTTTATGTTAGACTCCAATAAATGGCAATAATGGAGGAACCAGTGATACATTCTACATTCATTTTATCTAAAGGGAGAAAAATATTCACCCAAGTGACTTGAATAGTATAGAAAAGTCTGGGGAAAAATGTGATTGGGCCATTGAAGACCCAGGAATAAATTAGTATGGTCCCTATTGAGTACCTGCTTAGAAAAAGATACTATTTGGTGGTGAAATATATTTATGGCAAATATATAAGGAATATTGGAATGATATTAGACATTGATTGGAGATAAGAATTTTTGTAGCCCAGAATTGAACTGACCAGTCCTTGGTGCTCTCTGAGTTTGGTTGTTTGCTTGCAAATATTTCATTACCAGACTAGGTATAACATCTTCAGTACTAGAAGATAAACTGTCGTTTACTGCTTGTTTGTCCTAGACCAAGCTAAATCCAAAAACACTAGGGAATTCCTGGATTTTTGGCACTCAGACAAATAAGCCATCAACAGGCACATAAAATTTTCACACCATTTAAAAGAGACTACAAAAAAAGCTAAGATGGAAATAAAGAAAAGAACACCTCTTATCAGCATACACCCATAAGCAGAAATTAACACCAGCCAAACAAAACAAATAAACAGTAAATAATACCCTAATCAAGGAAGTACCAGGAGAAAACAGCAGCCCCATCAACACTAACAGGGCAAGCTACTAACTTCACTCTCTTCTAGCACTGAATTCTAGAAACAAAATGTCTCCAAGCAAGCAACCAAGCTCAGAGAACATCAAAGAATCCTAACTAGATTGTCTGTACTGATGAATATAGATCAGAAGATTAATATGTAAAGACCAGGGTAGATGTGTTCAGCAATGAAACCTGAGTGAAAGATTGTACATTATAAATAAATGGTGAAAAACAAGAGCAAACAGATGGATTTTTGTATTTTGGTACAATTGTTATTTAAAGATGAGAAATCAAGTGGAGAAATTTTATGAAAGCAAATGGTGGTAGAAAAGGGTAGACACTATATGGTTTGTTGTGAGGAATGAATCTTTGTCACGCAAAGCAAGACCAACTCAGTTTAGAAATATGCACCAACTCAATATGGAAACAAGGATAATTTGCAAGGACAGAAAAGTAGGGAGATGTGCAATGAACTGTAAACCAGATTTAGCTATGTTTCTTTTTCTGAACCCATTCTTTAATTTCTTTGGGTTTTTATTACTCCTTTTCTGAACTATGCATAATTTACCCCAAAAGGGAACAATGTGGTAAGTATGTAGGTAAGTATGATGGAGGTACGTATGGTAGTTCATTAACTATGCGAATATAACAGAGCTACAGGCCTTTTCTTTAAATAATTATATTGGTTTTCTCAACTGACACATATATTTTATAAAATGAAATAGGTTAGGCAGGAAAATACATGATTTGGCATAACTGATTTAAAGTTTAAGATTAGCACCTTAAAATATTGTTGGTGGTTGCATAATAAGCCACAGACATGGGTAAATATACCATGGATTTTAAGACAAGCCATTATTGCTGCTGCGGTGGGCCAATTTCTACCTTATTCTAAAGTCTGTATCTGGCTGGATGGCAAATATGTATTCTCCCACTGGCTGCACCCATGAGGGGGCGTATGCTGCTAAAAAATGTCCACAGCTTGGCTAGTTGAACTTAGCGATTAGTACTCTGGATTTACTGTATTCACTCAGAAGTTAGAGATGTAAAATAAGAGCAAACTGAAAAAGATTAATTACTTCATCCTCTGGTTTTTTTCTAGCTAGAAGAAAGAAGATGAAAACAAAATATTTCTAAAGGCTATGAAGGACAAAAGTATTACTAAAGTATTACTAAAGTAGACAAGTAGTTAAAGTATAGTAATGAAAGAGTTATAAAGCTTGATTAATGAATTGTCTTGTTTTTTTATAATTTTTATTTTACCATTCCTGGAAGGAATGCAGGTAGTCTGTTATTATTCTCTCTCTCTCTTTTTTTATATTATCAGAAAAATTCTGTATAGTACCATATATTAGTCTGAAAAGGGTAATTGGATAGTGTACTTCTTTCTTCCCTTCCATACATATTTATACACAGAAGCAAAAATGAAGTACTGAAAAAAAATAATAAGATATTTGGATTTTTCCTGTATTTAATTCCAAAACTGATTGTAAAATATGTATGGATATAAATAAATATATTGTATCACCTAGTTGTATCTCTCCATGGGCAAAATCCAATAATTCTGTTCAATGTCATATTCCTTTGAATACTGATTATGATCCGCAGGTCATGTTAATTTCCAGGATGCCTTTCCTACTTCTTCCTTCAATATCTTAGAATGGACTTTTCATACCAATAGATAAATGAGAACATGGCTTGCATAATTTTTAGCCAGCATGTCCAATGACAATATTGGCTGAAGATTCAATGTGTCCAGAAGATATCATACTGGGGGCTGCAGTGGTTCACGTGGTAAGACGCTGGACCTGCGCACCGCTGTGGTCAACAGCTTGGCGGTTCGATTACTGTGAACGAATAAGCCATGGAAGGGACAAGAAAGGAGCATCTCCCGATTGCCTACCAGCATTCAGGCGTCCCACAGGTAAAAATAACACTGCCTGAAAAAAAATCTTTCACAGACGCAGCCAGCCACGTTGGTGATCCCTGGCTAACACGTGCCATATGCTAAAACAAAAAACAAAATAAAACAAAAACTATCTTAGAAATCTCCCTATCTGCAAAGGCAAAGGAACTCAAATCTCCCAAATCCTAGGATAAATGTTACAGCTAGAACTGGGGATTAATATTAATAGAACAACTGAGTTGGAAGGCACCTTGTAGGTCATCTAGTCCAATCCCCTGCTCAAGCAGGAGGCCTACACCATTTCTGACAGATGGCAATCTCTTCTAGAAAGCTTCCAGTGATGAAGCTCCCACAACTTCTGAAGGCCAACTGTTCCATTGGTTCACTGTTATCACTATCAGAAAAAATTCCTTCTTTCTAGATTGAATCTCTCCATCAGTTTCCATCCGTTATTCCTTGTCTGGCCTTCAGGTGCTTTGGAAAATAGGTTGACCCCCTCCTCTCTGTAACAGTCTCTCAAATATTGAAACATTGCTAATGTCTCCCCAGTTCCTTCTCTTCACTAGACTAGCCATGCCCAGTTCTTGCAACCGTTCTTCATATGTTTTAGCCTCCAGTCCCCTAATAATCTTTGTTGCTCTTCTCTGTACTCTTTCTAGAGTCTCAACATCTTTTTTATAGTATGGTGACCAAAACTGGATGCAGTAATCTAGGTGCGGCCTTACTAGGGCTTTATATATTAGACAAATTTAATTCCCACGTTTCTTTAATATCTTGGAGATCTGCATAAAAGCTATACAGTAGCAAAGCAGGAGATAAAACTCTGTATTACAATCTAGATCAGCACCCAAAGCCAGAGCCATGGAAAGGAAAAATTCTAGGCATAAATTACTGTGTACCCATTGCAGTTGTTTTCTCAGTGTCGAATAGTATCAGCTTCTAAAAAAGGTGAGGTGGGGAAAGAAAGATGTTTTATAATTGAGAACTAGCATGAAGCACCAAAAATGTGCTGCCCATATTGTGAACTGAGATCCAGAAAAAGGTAAAGGTAAAAGTTCCCCTTGCACATACGTGCTAGTTGTTCCCGACTCTAGGGGGTGGTGCTCATCTCCATTTCAAAGCCGAAGAACCAGCGCTGTCCGATAACAATTCTGTGGTCATGTGGCCGGCATGACTAAACGTCGAAGGTGCACGGAACGCTGTTACCTTCCCACCAAAGGTGGTCCCTATTTTTCTACTTGCATTTTTACATGCTTTCAAACTGCTAGGTTGGCAGAAGCTGGGACAAGTAGCGGGAGCTCACTCCATTAGATGGCACTAGGGATTTGAACTGCCGAGCTGCTGACCTTTCTGATCGACAAGCTCAGCATCTTAGCCACTGAGTCACCATTCCAGAACCCCCCCCCCCCCCCCCCCCCAAAAAAGGAAAAATGAGATTTACCACCCGTTTGTCCAGTTCCGCCCCGTATTGCCCCTGGAGGCAAGCCACAAGCCTCTTGTGCACATTGTGTGCTGCCCGTTTGACTGGTTCAATTCTATGTTCAACCTAAAAAAAGAAAGTGGAACAGTTAGCAGAGAAGAAATAAGGAGAAATTCATTTTCTATGCATCCATCGTGGTTCCCCATACATACTGTTAAGTGTGTGTGTGTGTGTGTATACACACACACACACATCCTTTCCTTCATCTTGGCCAGTCAGTCACTCACAATTTTGTTTGTTTAAATCATTGTTAACTGGCTATTGTTGTAATCTCATTTTATACTGAGACATTCAGTTGTTAGGAGTTGGGTAACATACACATTGATAAAATATAAACATTTGTTCATGGACTCCTGCAGTGCTTAAAACGTATTGTCCTGTCATTAAAATGACACAGCAGGAGTTAAAAAATGCAGCCACTTTTGAAAGCGTACCCAGAATAGTCCGATCCTCTTCTCCTTTTGGAGATTGTGACTAAAATATATACATTACATTCACCTGTGGCACTTCCAGTCATCATTTGTATTTATGTAACTACCTGAGGTGGGTAAAATGAAGATTCAGATTGTTGGGGGGCAATAGGCTGCTTAGAGAGGGCTGTAAAGCACTATGAAGCGATATATAAGTCTAAGTGCTATTTATTTTATTTATTTATAATTTAATTTATATACCGCCCCCCTCCAGAAGGACTCGGGGTGGTGTACAGCCAATTAAAAACACAAAATACAACAGTTTTAAAATAGTTAAAAGTATTAAACAATTTCGGCCAGAATTTAAAACCCAAAATTTAAAACACCAATTTAAAAATCATTTACATAGATAGCCCTGCCTGACGGAACAGCAGGGTCTTAAGGGCACAGCGAAAGATCTTGCGAATTTCCGGGGGCAGTTCGTTCCACAGGGCAGGAGCTCCCATAGAGAAGGCCCTTCCCCTGGGTGTCGCCAGCCGGCATAACTTGGCTGATGGCACCCTGAGGAGTCCCTGTCTGTGGGAGCGAATTGGCTGGTGGGAGGCTACTGGTGGCAGAAGTCGGTCTCGAAGGTATCCAGGTCCTGAGCCATGAAGCGCTTTAAAGGTGGCAACCAACACCTTGAATCGCACCCGGAAGACCACTGGGAGCCAGTGCAGCTCGTGCAGGAGAGGTGTCACATGGGCGCAACGAGTCGTACCCATAACCACCCGCGCGGCCGCATTCTGGACCAGTGGAACTTCTGAGTGCTCTTCAAGGGGAGCCCCAAGAGAAGCCCCATATTGCTTCTCATTGTCAGAATTTTACGTCAAATTCAAATATTATGGTCTTTTTTTCTTTCTAAGCTTTTTACGCCAGAAAGAAAAACCCAGTTAAGTTAACAAAGGCCCAATAACTTTAGGATGCCTTGTGAGTGATGGCACTAAGACTCATCCATTTGATGAGTCACTTCATTGCCTTTCAAAACTCCATTAATTTAAGGACAGAGACCCTATTCACAGTACATCTGCAGCTTTGTATGTTCTAAAGTTTTGCTACTCTGCATCTTCTGGGGCAGGAGTCTCCAACCTTGGCAACTTTAAGACTTGTGGACTTGTGGACTTGTGGACTTCAACTCCCAGAGTTCCTCAGCCAGCAAAGCTTCTGGCGTGTTCTCTCCCCACCCCCCAGTGGAGTCTTATTGTACTCAGCTTGCACGACACAGCTAACTAGTAGACCTGGATTGTATCGGGAGAGGATGATTCTAGTCCAAGATTGTCTTGTGACTCAGACACAGAGAGAAAACAAACTGCTCTCTAAGACAAATGACGCCTTCTCTGCCAGCACAGGGCTGCAGGTAAGTACATGCCCACAGATGAAACCCAGTGCCTCACCTGGAGTAAGTCTTCAGTCAAGTAATCCGCTGTTTCTTGGGCTCTGGAAAAGGAGGAGCAGCAATGGAAGAAAGAGGTCACCAACATACTTGTACATTAACTTTATATTATTTCAATAATGTCTATAAGCCACTTTCTTGCATCAGTGGTGGGTTCTACTGGTTCGTCTCGGTTCGTGCGAACAGGTAATGGTGGCGGCGGGAGGCTCTGCCCACCCGCCTGGACATCTCTGTGCATGCACAGAAGCTTCTGTACATGTGCAGAAACGTAGCGCTAGTGACCAAACTGAAACCCACTATTGCCTTGCATATTAGATCAGCATTATACTTTCAGGAAAATGGTAGGGTTGTTTGTAAGACAGATTGATTTACCCCCGGGAAAGAAGAACAGAATCAGAACTTCCCAGGCTCATAGTTGTCACTAACAATATGCCTGGTTAGCATTCAGAAAAAAACATAAAACATGGATAGCAATGGGGACAGTTGTCCACACAGTTATTCAGATATGTCGGTACACAGTGGAAGGATTCTTGGGCAGCTGCAACGTGTCAGGCGAATGCAGGCTTAGAATGTTCAAATGTTAGCTGGTGTTTAATTCTCACAATTCAACCTGAAGTTGAATGTAGGTTCAAGGCCCCTAAATGGCAGCATGAGGAAACAGCAAATCTACCCATGGTTCCTTTTGAAAATAATTGTTTCCAGTACTCTGGAAATGGAGCCTGAAAACTGCTATTTCAACAGCACAATGCTATTTTGTGGAGAATTGAAATGCTTCCCAGATTCTGCAACACATTCTTGCCATTGATAAACAAAATAGTAAAGATGCCCTCCGTTCAAACTTGGCTCCATTTGACTATATGGATATAATTGTTTTGGAATCTTCTTGATTGCAGAGATGGGTTGCCATTCAGTGGTGGGTTGCTCCCGGTTTGCCCCGGTTTGGGTAAACCGGTAGCAGCGGCAACGGCGGGAGGTTCCGTGCATGTGCGGAAGAAGTGCACATGCACACAAATGTATGCAAGACCATGAGTGAACCAGTAGCGATGGGTTTTGAAACCTGCCCTTGTTGCCATTCTTACCTACTCCCAGACAACTGCTATTCCAGACTAGCCTTCTGCCATAACATTTCTGGTGATCTCCTATCCCAGCTCCTATCCATACAGAATCAGTCAGCTGTCACCATTAGATGAGGCCCATCTATGAGGCCCATTAGATGAGGCCCACTATTAGATGAGGCCCAGATGTCCAAAGCTCAAAATATTACCAGAACATCCATATTGAGTTTTCTGAACTCAAAAGATGTTCTGGAATTTTTTCCAGAGATTGGGGCAAAATGGACTGACAAAAAACTGGAACACATCTCACTCAAAAGATTACAATGGATGTTTTGGTCAAATTCTTTTCCCCCCGATTCTTGGTCAAATAATCACTAGGGCATCTTCCAAAAAAACATAGAGGACACTTTCTCACAGTCTGGGAAATGGCCTTTCCTGAAATATTGTCACCTTCTTATTCTTAGCCCTATGCCTGGCAATATTGTCCTTCTCCTTTTGTTTTTGATGTCTGTTTTCAGTTAGAAACACATTTCAAACTCTGATCTAGAGGAAATACATGAGATTTTGACATGTTGACATATTTTGAATTTCACAGCAAACTGAAATGAACACAAATCAGGAAATCAAAGATGTTAAAAGCCTTTCCCCATTTCTGTATATCAGTGTTTCTCAACCTTAGCAATGAAGACATGAGGAATTCAATTCCCAGAATTGGGATTGGGTTGGGAATTCTGGGAGTTAAGGTCCACATCTCTTAAAGTTGTCAATATTGAGAAACACTGGTATATATCATGGGAAACGTGCTGGCAGTATCTTCTTTCTGCTGGGTCTCCAAGATGTTGCTTTCATCTTGTACCTAACCAGGTATAATATAGCTTTCTTTTGTCTTTACCTAAACCAGGGGTCTGCAACCTTAAACACTCAAAGAGTCATTTAGACCCATTTCCCAAAGAAAACATCGGGACCCACAAAACCCTTCCCATGCCTGACTATTTCTTGAGCGGCCACAAAACTAGTATAAGTAGTTGAATTAAACATTCTGTTTTCTTCAGAAACTTTACTTTTCTTGGATTTATCCATGGTTGGCCTAGCGGGGGTTGAAAAGCTCAATAAATTGCATGTTGGTGGGTGTCACACATTGGTGTTGTGACGCATATTTTGAGTGAGGGAGCCACAGCAGAGGGGTAAAAGAGCCGCATGCAGCTCCAGAGCCGCAGGTTGCTGACCCCTGACCTAAACCATGTTTTCCACTTGAAAAACAACCTGTAGCAGTTTAAAGAAATATATAATCCGATGCAGTTTCTCAACTGCTTTTTCCATTGCCCAGTAAAATGAACATAGAGAGTGGATGGGACCAGCTCCGCATCGATATGTCACTTCAGACTGGTGTGGGCACTTCCTTTTAATCCTGGGCACCCACCTTCACTTAGTTTTCTTCCATCTCCCTGCAGAAAGTGCTGAGGAATAGGCTGGTGGTGGCACCATATTTTGAAAGTGCCATGCTTTCCAGATTATTTGCAGGAAGGCAGGACAGTCTTCAGGAAAGGACTCTTTCAAAATCTGTAGCCTCCATGTGCAATGCAAGTTGAAAAAAAAAAAACCCTTGTACTTATTTCAAAACTTTGCACCTTTTCAAATCTGCTCAGAACCCATGAAAAAGATCAAGGGCTAAAGGCTTGCGGAATTTGCAATGAGTTTCCCTGTGTACAATAAAGCAGGAGATGTGGGTTGTGGCATTTATCAAAATTTGTTACCCACCTCCCCAAGCTCTATCCTCTCTCCTTTGCTATTGAGATTGATGGATAATTTCCCAACTATTTCCACTAGTTGGTAATATTCAGAAAGGAAGAGAATCAGAGTGTTTATCCAGTTGATTTGCATAACATGTCCTATACAGAAGCAACACAAGTAGTCCTTGATTTACAACCACAACTGAGCCCAAAATTTCCATTGCTAAGGAGGCAGATGTTAAGAGAGCCATGCCCCATTTTACAACATTTTGTGCTGTAGAAAGTCAGCACCCACCCACCTGCCTAGAAAATGAAATATTTTGGGGAGTATTAAAAAGCTAGAATATAATATTTCCCCTAAAGGAGAAATGAAAAAAAAAAATCTTAAGGGAGGCAGAAACCAGCACCAATCTCCCTGCCCCAAGCAGAAACTGAGGAGGCCAGCTTTTAGAAATGCAGATTTGGTAATCCATTCAGAAAGACTGGGCCAGACAGAAACTCCAGATAAGCAATTAGATTGACAAGATTAACTCAGACAACACCTAGGATTTGCATAGGAATCTGACAACATCCATTAGAATATTAAAGGATATGTTTTTGCACAGGAACAGGAAGCTCAAATACAAAACCCAAAGAAGATGTAAAAACCCACCCACTCTCAATTCCATTTTGTCAGCTGTCCCAGAATCACATGCTGTTGGTGGTTCTGCTCATCAATAAACCAACTCTCCTTCCAGTCAGCCTCCATTTTATTCCTGGATTGGAACTGGAACTGGATTTTTCTTCCAACAGTGCCATGATTGTTAAAGGAATGATTGCAGTTATTAAGTGAACCATGTGGTTGGTTGTTAAGCAAATCTGGCTTCCTCCATTGTCTTTGCTTAATGTCAGAAGCACCCTAGTAAGGTTGCAAATGACAATCCCAGGATCCTGGGATGCTGCAACCATTGTGAATACATGCTGGTTGCCAAGCACCCAAGGTTTGATCACATGACCGTGGAGATGCTGCAACAGTCATAAGCGGGAGAACAGGTCATAAGTTATTTTTTTTTCAGTGCTGCTGTAACTCTGAAAAATCATTAAAAGGAACTCTGGTTAAATTGAGGATTGCCTGTACTTCAGTCTAGGATTGGGCTTTGTGAACAGCAGTTTTTATATTTCAATAGTGCTCTGCCGACTCAAGAAATGGATTCTTACATTTCAACTTTTAGCCCCTATTCTCTGAAAAAAGGGAAAGGTGGCAATGCACAAGCTTATGGCTAAGATGACTCCAATAGCTATGGATCCATTCACCAGTTGCTCATGAGCTGAAAATTACTGTTATAACTGGGTGTAACATTATCTTATGGCGGAGGGGGAAATCCCATTTTAAATAAATGCTCTGCTAAAACACAAGTATCATAATGTTAATAGTTTGGTACTTAATTGCTGCTGCATTGTTGAAATAATGTTCACAACGTTATAGCCCCAACCATCCTGGGGAGATGATGAATTCTTCTCCCTGCTTTTTTAAAAAAATGTGTTGTGACTGATCCCAATGGCATTTTAATGAAAGTTGCAAACAAACAATAGTTAAACCTAAAAAACATGTTATTAAACACGGCCGCTTGTTTTATGCAACAACAGCAATACTTAGGTGTCCTTTTGTGCAATTAGCCTAGGTGAGCAAGTCTGCAAAGATCCTCTTCACCACCCCCATCTTGGAATGGGATGAGTAACTTCACAACAACTAGACAGGGAAGACAGGAAAAGCAGCTTCAGGACTCCCAGGAGGAGAACCCTGCCCTAACTCTACTGATGTCATTCCTGCGTTTTTAAATGTATGGTAAGCACTCAAATTTCTCTTGCACTTCCGGCTTAAAAAAATGACAGGAACAAAAATTATGAAGAGACCTCCTCATCCAACCTCCGTGGAATCTCCCTTGTGACTGTTTAGTGCAGGGATAGGCAACCAGGTGTCACTTATGTCTTGGAGAAGAATTTCAAAATCCCCATTCAGCATGACCAAGAGCCAGAGATTACAGGAATTGTAATCAAAATATTTGAAAGGCACTAAATCAGGGGTGTCAAACTCGATTTCATTGAGGGCCGCATCAGGGTTGTCTTTGACCTTGGGGGCCGGATGGGTGTGGCCAGGGTGGGCGTGGCCAGCTTGACGTCACTCATGTTAGGGGCGCCTGTGGGGGCCCGAGCGCTCTGCCAGCCAAAACGGAGCTGGGGAGGCTGTGACGGTCTCCTGCAACCCTCCGCCACCAAAAATGGAGCTTGGGAGGCCGCACGCTGGCAGATGGTTGCAGGAAGCCGTCGCCACTTCCCAAGTTCCATTTTCATTGGCAGAGGCACTGCAGGCCAGTCTTTCACTGTTTCAAGGGCAGCCTAAGTACCCCATGGGTTGGATCTGGCCTGTGAGCCTTGAGTTTGACACCCCTGCACTAAATTGTTTATCGTTGGGCTAGTGAAATGGGTTTGCCACTGGGAGACCAAAAGTAAAATCCTATCCATCGATAGATGTGCTGAATGGTTGCAGAGCAGCCCAGAAATACAAGAATCATCAGGAATCAGATTTATTTTATTTATACTTCCTAGTTTTTTTTTAACTGCCCATCTTCCTCAGAGATAATTGAATTTTGATTTAAATCTCTGAAGGGCAATAATATTTCAGAGTTATTCTAACAATAACAACAAGAATAGCCCCACAGTTAGATAGGCGGCAAATAAATCTAACAAACAAATAAATAAAATAAAACAAACAATAAAGTTATCTGTCCTCCGGCCAATCAACACTGCCTTCTCTTGGAGCAAAGATGCTGCTCATCCTCTTGCTCATATTTGGCAAGAAAAAGTTTTTAACCTGGTACTTTTCAGGCATATTGGACTAAATACACCACATTAAGCATGACATGATTGAGATGCAGGATTAGTAACACCTAGGTTGGTAACATAACCTAATAGAAACATGACCTTTGGCCTTTTTTTTATTTGTAATTCAGGAACGGGGATCCTATGATTCGCCAGAATTCTTGTAAATGCCATAATTCTTCCTATCTTGCCAGTTATAACTTATCGCTCGCATCTTTAGAAGTTTACCAATCTCCAGTTATTATTTCAGGGATACGTAAGATCACCAGTGTAAGCCTTTGATTGATAGCTGCTATTTTAACTGCTCAAGAAAGTGACTAAACATGAAATTGATATGACTCAGGATATATACATACATACCTCCCATGGGCTTTAGTTGTAGCAATCTCATCGCCTACAAGTAAAATATTGTACAGATTCTGCTATCTGAAAACCTCCGCTTTTATTTTAGGAAAGAGCAAAAGTGTCTATGCCTCTGTAGCAGAGGTGGGTTTCAGCAGGTTCTGACCAGTTCTGGAGAACCGGTAGCGGAAATTTTGAGTAGTTCGGAGAACCGGTAGTAAAAATTCTGACTGGCCCCACCCCCATCTATTCTCTGCCTCCCGAATCCCAGCTGATCGGGAGGAAATGGGGATTTTGCAGTAACCTTCTCCTGGATTGGGGTGGGAATGGAGATTTTACAGTATCCTTCCCCTGCCACGCCCACCAAGCCATGCCACTCCCATCAAGCCACACCCACAGAACCCATAATAAAAAAATTTGAAACCCACCACTGCTCTGTAGATGAGGTTTCAAAGCATGTGGTTATTCTCTCTCTCTCTCTCTCTCTCTCTCTCTCTCACACACACACAAAGATTTCTGTTTTAATTACAACAGGGAAAGGCAGCTTTCAATTCTGCAGAATCCAGTTTTTGTTTCACTAATTCCAGAGACCATCGGTTGAACTATATACACAAAAGGTATATATAATTCAAAAGCCCTTTCTCATTATCTGATAGGAATAATAGATGGATTCCACATTTTCTACCCTGAAATCAATTTATGATTAGCCCCACTATTTTCATTTCAACAGTTGCTGTTCTTAGCACTTCTCCTGCTAAGGCTCTGCTTGCTTGTTTTGCCTTGCATCACTTACAGGTGAATCTAACCATGCATGATGCAGTGAGGATGAATTGCTTAGAATCTAGCTTGTTGCAGAGCCTGATGCTGATAATGGTTGAGGAGGGGGATTGATTGGCTCAAAGTTATCAAACTGGTTTCTGCAGCCAAGGGAGAAGGAGAATCTGAGCGTCCACACTCCTACTCCAGCACCTTAACCACAATACCACATTGGCTTTCTTAATTTTAATAGTGAGGTCAACAACATCAGGGTCAGCAACAAGCTATGATAAGAGTGAAGAGGACATTTTGTTCTTGTTAAACAATTGGGAATCAGAACTCTTTCCCCTTTTGATTGCAAAATCTGGGTGTTGAAGTCTTAACAGGGTTGCAGAAACAAGGGCTATTCCGTTGTGAGAAAATAATCACCATGGAAGCTTTTTAGAAGTCTGCTGAGTGAACATGGTGGGGGCATAGGAAGGTGATCTGTAAACCATTAATAAACTGTAATTAAATAATCCCACAGAAGGAAAAAAGTAGAGTTTCTCCGTATTAGACTTTGGAGGCAGGGTACCTCCATCGAGAGCTACCCTGTGAGAGTTTTTAAAGTAGCTACCCTCCAGCTAGAGATACAAAATCTAAATCCACCTGAACTTTTAAACACAAAGTTCTAGCACCCCAAACTGTATAAAGAGTCTAGCAATGCAGCCAAACAAGTAGTCCTTACCGTCCACTTGGGTAACTGAGCTGTTGCCGCATCCAGTTAAACTGCTTCTTCATCATCCTGTGGGCCAAGCTGAAATAGTACCACCAAAGCAGGAAAACAAGCCAGAGGCTTTAGTGCCTCCTCAATACAAGCCAGCTGCACTTGCTGCCATCCGTTGCTCTCTCTCTCCCCGCCTTCACTGCAGGCTTCTTCCTGTCACTTCCTTGTCATCTTCTAGTTTGACCTCCTTTTTCTTCTCCACCTATCCTCCCTTTGTGTCTTTACGCCTCTCCTCCCAAGTCTACTTCCTTCTCATGGTTTCCCCTTCCACTAATGAGCTTTACTCATCTTTTTCTGGGTGCTGCTTTACTTTTTTTTTTTTTTTGGCAAACTTTCCAGCTTCCTAATTCTCTTGCTCCTTCTAGCCTCTTAACACAACCTTTCCTTGTGCTTGTCAGGTAAAATCTGTGGTGGTTTCTCTGAGTTCCTGTCACCACCCCTTAAAAAAAAAACCACACAAATAACTTCAGCCAAGTCTTAAAGGGGAAATATGATTACAGCAAACATGAAACAAGGCAGAACAAGCTGATCTACAAGGCTCATGTGGTAGCACTTCCTACTTTCTTTCTGCTTTTCTCTCTCCAGGGCTTAATAGTGTATGTTTGACACATTAGCATAAAGGTTTGTGCAAAGACGACAGCCCGTTGATTAGAATAGGTGGCAAAATGAGCCCACATCTTATCTGAGTCATGATTTATGAAATAAGCCATCATATCTAGGTTTATTTATTTATTTGTCAAGCATATATAAGATTACAGATATAAGTATAAACATGATTATGAATACATGAAATGGATACGAATAAATGAGGATGGTAGGACAGGGACGGTAGGCACACTGGTGCACTTATGCACAGCCCTTACAGACCTCTTAGGAATGGGGTGAGGTCAACAGTAGACAGTCTAAGGTTAAAATTATGGGAGATTGGGGAAGAAACCACAGTCAGGTAGTGCATTCCAGGCATTGACCACTCTGTTGTGGAAGTCGTATTTTCTACAATCAAGTTTGGAGCAGTTTACCTTAAGTTTGTATCTATGTGTGCTTGGGTATTGTTGTGGTTGAAGCTGAAGTAGTCATTGACAAATAGAACATTGTAGCAGATAATTTTATGTACTACACTTAGGTCAGACTGAAGACAGCATAGTTCTAAATTGTCTAAGCCCAAAATTTCAAGCCTGGTGGCATAAAGTATTCTGTTGTGAAGTCAAGGAGTGGAGGACTCTTCTCGTGAAATATCTCTGGACTCGTTCAGTTGTATTAATGTCTGATATGCAGTGCGGGTTCCTATCCAGCAGATAGGCTGTATTCGAGAATTGGTCTAGCAAATGTTTTGTACGCTCTAGTTAGCAGTACAGTATTACCAGAGAAGAAGCTACACAAGATTAAGTTAACAATTCTTAAGAGACATTTTGGCAATGTTGTTACAGTGGTACAATGTTTTTACTACTTTTTAAAACATATTTAATATTGTTTTGTACAATGTTGTTACTACTTATTGAGGTTCACTCAAAAAGCTGTATTAAGGCTGAACAAGCTTCCTTATGGCTTAGCAACCTGTGTGAATGAGCCAGAGGAAAACTAGCTGTAAAATACAAAATCATGTATATCTGATTTATAAGTATTCCCAGACAGGATCGCAGATAGAATTGATCAGTGTTACCGCTAGGCAAAGACAAATGGGTTTTTCAAAGGTTTGGACGTCCTCAAGGAAAGTTGATGGGCACAAAACTTTGGGGAATCAATATCTATGGATGTATGGGAGAAAATATGGGTTAGAAATGTGAAGTTTACTCAAGTCCAAAATCTAAGAGAAAATTTTCACAAAATGTTTTATAGATGGCACTTAAATCCCCAAAAATTAGCCTGTATGTACCCGAATTTACAACCTACATATTGGAGATGTAAATGTGATGATGCAACGTATTTTCATGTATGGTGGACATGTAAGAAAATTAAGGCATTTTGGATTAAGATATGGTGGATTATACAAAATATTCTTAAAAGGAAGATAAAATTTATTCCACAGTTGTTTTTATTGGGTATAATTGAAGGATGTACAGTTAGAGAGACTAATTTGATTTTGAATTTAATAACGGCAGCCAGACTTTTGGTGGCGCAATATTGGAAGAAGGAAGAAATACCTACTATTGAAGAATGAACATTAAAAGTAGCTAATTTGGTGGAGATGGCTAAAATTTCTGCATATTTGAAGGACCATTCGAATGAAAAATATGTACTGGAATGGAGAATATGGATTGACTATATACAAAACAAATATGGGACTAAAAGTTGCAATAGCTTATGAATGAAATATGTAGATGATTTTTTTTTACTTTGATATTTTAGTACCTATGGCAGAGTTAAAGAGTAAGGGGAAGTTAAGAGTTTATAGTTAGTTTGCTTATGTTAGATTATGTTTGTTAAATACCCTGTATTTTGCTCTGGGAAGTCGGGGGGGGGGAGGGAGAGGGGAAGGGGTGGGGGAAAGGGGGGGAATTTGTTTGTAAAACATTTAAAAACTTTTCAATAAAAAAAAAAAGGAAAGTTGATAATGTGCAGTGATACCAACTGTTTAGTTGTGGCCACAAAAACAAAATATCCATAATAATAAATGATAAGATTCTGCCTTTCGGGAAATTTTCAGCTACATCCTGCACCAGCACTACAGATTAACCTTTGATGCCGAAAGAAAATAAACATCCGAACATTACACTCATGCCCACTGATTTATTCTTCATCATCTCTAGTTCTGGAGATTTAATGCTGTTACCAACACCTTCTCAACTATGACAGTTAAAATTGTGGTTTTTTTTTTTTTTTTAAAAGCAAAGCCCCCATAATGAAACCATGAATATGCCATGCTGGCCTCCTTGATACTTGTGGAAGTAGGTAAATTATACAACTTTGTAATTGTTTCAAGGCATCCCTAAATGAACAGAAGCTGAAACAAAGGTGAATACTGATTAATCTTACTTTTTACAGCTTCAAACTAAGAAATCAGTGAATGTGAAAAATGCAAGTTTGGATCCTTTTAGTTACTTTGTTGTAAATACCATTTCCCCCCCAGAAATAACCACTTCCAAATACTGAATCATAATGTTGATGGATGATGCCTTAATATTTGCATAGTATAGGCAATGTATTGAAATGTATACATACATGTCCACATACCCACATGTTGATTATAGTAACAGATTCACAACTGATAAAAGATGTTCATTTCATATCATATGGTTAGGTTACGAAATTCAGTATTACAGGATATGATTGTGGCCAGTATTTTTTTTTTAAAAAGTTAAGAACATTTTTGAAGGTTTAGTTTATTAGCAGCAATCATTTACAATGCAAAATGGATTTTCAGGTAGGTCTGAAGTACATCCTGGTGATGAACAGCTCTGGACAGTGATCTCCTTCATATCCTGGTTGAGCCCTTCCACAAACGGTTGTCTTGGTGCTACTGGAAATAACTTCAGGAAACAGTTAAGACTTGCATCATTCAGCTGCTTCCCATCCCTAAATTCTGCTTTTATAACTGAGAACAACCATAACAGTTTATATACTTCCAACTAGTGGTGGGTTTCAATTTTTTTTTACTACTGGTTCTGTGGGCGTGGCTTGGTGGGCATGGCAGGGGAAGGAAAATCTGTAAAATCTCCATTCCCACCCCACTCCAGGGGAAGGTTACTGCAAAATCCCCATTTCTTCCCGATCAGCTGGGACTCGGGAGGCAGAGAATAGATGAGGGCTGGGCCAGTCAGAGGTGGTATTTATCGGTTCTCTGAACTACTCAAAATTTCTGCTACTGGTTCTCCAGAACTGGTCAGAACCTGCTGAATACCACCTCTGCTTCCAACAAAATGTCTTATCTGATAGGACCACTGAGCTATGTTAACTGGAGGTCATTCACATGTTCAGCTGAGAGTCAAACAAGAACCTTATTGTATGATTACAGAAAACACACATATCTTTGTTTTTCTTCTAACAGGTGTAACTACTTTCCTGACTGCTGACCGCTTGCTTCCTTCTCCAAATTTCCTCTTCATATATAGGTAATCCCCATATTAACTGCTTGGTGCCATTCACTTGATGTATATGGAGAAAGGCTCTGCCCTCATAAAGATTGAAACAAATGCATATTATTGTAGTGTAAATGCTAATGGAGATTCTGTGTCATCCAGATCATAGTTGTCCCAATTGAAGAAATCTATGTTTACTTTTTACTAGCAGATGGAAACTTTGTTCCTGTGGCGTATAAAACTCATATATAGCTGATAGCAACTAGTGCAAGCATAATTATCCATGTTTTATTTGGTGTATGCTTTAATTAGTTTTGTAGCTGTTTTCTATAGATTTTGTCTGGGATTTTGACCTGTAATTAAGAATTTGATTCAAATTATGGTCTGAGAAGTAGGAAACCTGAAGGACAAGGCAGGAAAGCAGTCATAGTCCAGTTGAGAAGAAATCAGTTCTATACAAGTAGTCCATGTTTTGTGACTATTTGCAATTACAACAGTGATGAAAAAGTAATTTTACAACTAATCTTTATGATGTTCACACTTATGATCTTTGCAAATTTATATAGCAAACTGAAATAGGATCATAAGCAGTCATAATTGCACAGCGACTGCTTAAACAATTGAGTTTGTGGTTGCTAAGCAAGAACTACCTAGTTGTAGATGAGAAAAAATATGAACGATATATCTCAGCACCTACAATATTCTCTAGATATTCAAGGAATTGAATTAGAGCTGCTACACACGTTCTGGTTTGTATATGTAACTGAAATTATTGAGCAATTGTTGCATTTGCTTCTGAGGCCTGGAATTTTATGTAGGTCTTCTATCTAAATCCTAAACATGTTCCAACCCTTTTTAACTTAACAAGATTAGCCAAGTACTATCTTGCAAAAGTACAGAGTAAGGGGGTGTAATGCAAATGAATATTATTATGAGAAAGTAGATTATAGTAGTATTCATTCAATTCAGTGGAAGCAAGACTTTTGATTCATAGGCTATGGGGAAAAATATTAAATTATTGTTGCTTGACTGTATCTGTAAAATGAATAGTGGTGATAAAGGTTGATTGCAAATATAATTTTTTAAAAAAATTTCTAGGGATAAGTGGTCAGAATCAGAGTTTTTCAGTGCACTGGTCAGATAATTCTGCATAACTCAAGTTTTGTAAAAATTCCTAAAAGACAAGTGAATAAAGTAAGCATAAAATGGATTACTTTGAATTTACCATCTATAATGGGTTTTATTTAATTCTGAAATATTTAGGATTGGATTTCCAAGAGTCAGGGTTAAAGTGTCTAAATAAATACATTTCTTTCTTAGAATTCCTCATAAACGTGTTGCATGTGAGATGATATGCACTTTATAACATACAGTATAGCAGTGAAATGTTTAAACTAAAGCCTTGATCCACTGGATG